TAGAATAAAGGGGTAGTACTTGTGGCTGATCAATGGAAATGGCCAAATGGACACACAATGATTGGTCATTTAAAATTGGCATTGACATTGGCCAGTCATTGTCCAGAGATGTGGACAAAGCAGGAGCCACAAAGGCAATCCGAAGGATTTCTGCACACAAAGTAGACCAATCGGCACTTCTCCACTAGTCGACTATATTAGGTTCACAGGAAGACACTGAGTAAAACTAGCACTTTCTTTGTGTTTTTTTTTGCAAATGATTTATAGTTTTGATTATTATAATAAATGTGAAAAAAGTTATTTTCTTGGCTGAACGTTTGAATGGATATGTTAAAAAAGCAAATAAATTTCATTTAATAAAAGAAATCAGATCTATAAATATAAATCAACACGTCCTTAAACCGATTAAAGTATATTTATAGATTTACATTTATTTCGCTCAGGTTCTGGTTCTTGTTTGTGATTCGAAAAAGTGAAAATTTATTTTTCTTTTTCTTTATTTTTCAACGAATTTAATTTTTCACTCTTAAGCGTCCTTTTTTTTAACCAAAGTTTGCATGGAAATTATATTTTTTAATTATTTTTCAGATATAATTTTCATATTTTCAAATCACTATTTATCTTTTCTTTCTGTGTACCAATCTCAGCCGGCAAAAACGCGTGTTGTATGTTTATATGAATCGCACGGGGAGCACGCTTCGAAGTCGCCGGCACTGGATTCGCGTGTGGGTGCCCTGCGATGCGCTCCGTTCAGCGTTCAGACTGAAACTGAAACTGAGACTCTGCGACAGAGGCCTGAAAACGAAACTTTCGACTGATTGTGAGAAAAGCAGCTGGCGGCGGCAGCGAAGCTAGCGGCGGCCGAGGATGACGGCAGAGACGTCGACGACATCGAGAGAATGCCAAGCCAAAAATGCTACTGTTTTCCTCTGTTTTTCCCTGTGTTTTACCGCCCGATACTGATGGAGTGCAAAATTCGAAATGCAATTAAAAGCATTGTTTGAAAGAATTCAAAATAATAGATAACTTTTCATTGCAGGCGAGGGAGATAGAGAGAGCCTTAAAATAAAACGAAAACTCTGTTTTGCAAGCAACTATCACTGCTTTTCGTTAATCGAATTTTCGGACCAGAAATTAAAAGGTTTTTCATGAGTTTCCATATAAAGTAGTATGGTCTAAAACGACAGACTTTCAAATTAATTCGGTTTATAATTTTTAAGATTTAAAAAATTAAACAATAGGTGGAATTATTTTTAAGGGAATAAAACTATAAGTCGCTGGTCTAATAATATCGTTTTTCATAATACTTAATCTTATCGCATCTTAAAATGCTTACAAAATATGCTCTTATCTTGGTCAGATGAAGATCTTTTATCATTTTCATAACAATAAAAGTCTCCTTCCTAACAATGGAATTTCGAAGATTCTTGGGAAAAATATTTAAGTGATACCCAAACACTATAATAATATAAACAATATAAATATAGCCGATGAATGTTTTATGCCCCATTAATAAAAGTTTTTTAGATACATTTTTATATGGAATTCTGAATTACAGAAACTTTTTGGGTCACTGAGGCCCTTAGCAACAATCAAGAGATCAAGTTTGCGGGAATTTAGATCACATTCAAGTTCAAACCAAATGGAGTTTTCTAAGTGAACAATAATTGGCGAATGCAAGACATGAATTTTATGTATGTGTAGTATTATTAAGTTCACAATATATTTATTTTCATCTTAAAATAATCCCCCCTAAGTGATCTGCAACCTTTAAACCATTTTCAAGTAGTTCTGCAGTATTTTCCCCCGTCCGTGCGAGTCAAATCAAAGCGCAATTTTCCGCCGCATGACGGGCAAAGACTTCAGGTGCTTTTGGCTTCTGCATTTTCCGACCTTACTCCCCGCCACCACCATCTTGGCTGCAACCACTTGGCTATAAATAGGACCAACTGAAGACGAACCCAACGGGCAACACTTTCGTTTAACTTTTCTGGTAGGATAGTAGCAGAAATTAGTTCCCAGGCGGCTCTATATGCTTTGCCATGGCGAAAGGGTGAGGTCACAAGTGTGGAAATGCCGGAATATTGGAAGGGATTGGGGCGGTTAGTAAATAGACAACAACATGTGCCCCTGGTCCCACATGTGCTGTGGCAAGTTGGCCGTCTTAATTATTTATACGTAATAAAACTAAGCATAATTTTCTAGCAACAACTACGCACTGGCGCCTCATTTCAAATTCTATAAATAATTTGAAAAGCCGTTGATATAGTTGAATCGCAAAAGGCTCCAAAAGGCTCAAACGGAAAAGCCGGAAAAACTGAAAACACATTCATACAAGTTGTTGGGAACCAAAAAAAGAGAGACGAAAACTGCGAGAGAAAGATACAGAGAGAGAGAGAGAGAGAGAGAGAGCGTTGGCAGAGAAACGTAGAGCTGCTGCGACTGCGACGTCGGCAGTAGCGTCACATGCGGCGTATGCGTAATTTTGTCAGCCTTATCAGAAAGCCATTGCAAGCAAACTTTATTTTAAAGAGCCTGGCCATTTATCGAACTTGCAACGTGTTGTCTCCTGCGGTCCCAGCCACCGATTGCCTTCCCAAAACCCCCTATGGATACCCCACATTCAGCCATTCCTGCCACAACAGTCGCGTTGTTTGCACGCCGGCTGCCCAAAGCCCGCCAATTGTTTATTCAAGCAGCATCCCAGCATCCCAGCAACCCAGCATCCCAGCTCATGCTGCCCATGTGCACTTGAACTGCCTTCGTCCGATCTCCTCCATCCGCTACCCCTCTGCTCCCTTTTCGCCGGCATGCCTGTGCATTCATTTGGCCGGCGATGTGCTTGTCTGGCCATTTTTTTCCGGCTCTGCAGCCAGCCTCCGCCTAGAACACTGAGAAAAACTTGTTTCATTGCCTGCAAGTTGATGAAGTGCATAAAAGGATGTTTGTACATACCCTTGAAAAGGTTCTTATATTTAAGAATTTCTAAGAAAAAGCTTCATATATTTCGATTATTACTCGAAATGGTAAACTTTTTTCACCGTGTAGGAAGCGCTCATTGCAGTTGTTATCGCCGCAGTTTGTTGTTGTCGCCGGGCTTAAGCGGCTCTTAGCGGCAGTGAATCAGTGGCCAAACATGTAATCTGTTTAATGGCCAACTGACCGTGCATTGGACCAACTGGTCCTTCACGCCCCTGAACCGTTTTAGCCGGTCGCGTATACGCACCGTGAGCCGGACAAAGTCTTGGAATTTGCATAGATCTTTTTTCAAATGCTTGCACTCTTTTTTTCTCTTTTTTGGCGGCTATATAAAATGCCCACCTGTTGAATACAACAAAATGAGAAAAAAAAACACCAAAAAACGAACCCAAATGCCATTTGGGTCTAAACAAAAAACGTGAAAAATCGTTAAACAAAATAACAGCAACAACAAAAAAAACCCAAACAAAGTAATATTGAAAGCGGACGAAAACTTGTTCAGCTGCGTCGCCATTGATTTGCATAAACGGCAAAAACGTAAGCTAAAAGAAATAAACATTTGCAATATCTGTGAGTAAAGCAACGATTGTTAGAACGATATGGCTAAGTTGATTTTTCAATTAGTCTCGGTGGCGAAATTGGCTACTTAAAACCCTTAATCTGAATCTTCGATCTCGACACTTTTTGGGATTTTATTACACTGGCCAAACCTGGTCTACAAGCTTTTTCGGGCCTTTTGATTTGCGTTCATTTTTCGTTTTAAGAACCGTTTATTGACTTCCAATAAGAATTTTAGAATAAATGACCTAAATTATTCCATATTCGTATCAAATCATGCCCAATTTAAATATATAACGACGTGAGTCGCCTTGACTAGTTATATCCTAAGCCTTCTTTTGATATCAAGTGTTTTTAATCATCGTGAGCTGAAACGGATTTGCATTTTAAAACATAGATAGTAATCTTTGCGTAGAATACGTTTTATAGAGCAGCTGACAAGCCAGAATCATCTTTTTAAAACAAAATAAAAATGTTTTTATATCAACCGATATTGTTAACGAAATGGGTCCTAAACAGTTAATCACCCATTAAATTTCACAAAGATCGGTTTCTGGGGAAACTGCTAAACCTGCTTGCCCATTTTTAATATCCAAGTTTAGTCTTTCCAGACCGTTTATAGATCTCGTATAAAAGCGCCTAATAAGTGTTAAAAATGTAGATGAAGCTATTCCAAAATGATTAACATTCAACTTGACTGGCATCCATTGGGATTATCCGTATAATTTACGATAAAAAAAATGATTAAAACAAAGGCTGACAATTTTCCAATTTTATCCGGACTTCAGCTCAAATTTTATATTCCTCTGCAATACTGGGAATGCTTAAGGGAAATCACCACCAATAGATGTCTCTTTTAAAAAGGGAAATCGATCTTATACTGTTCGTTGACTAAAACCCCACAAAATGCCAACACAGGAAAATGCAAACATTGAAAATGCTTAAGGGAAATCACCACCTATAGACTTTTTTATAAAGGGAAATAGTTCTTATACTTTTCGTTGACTAAACCCCCAAAAAATGCCAACATAGAAAAACGCCAGCATTGGAAATGCTTAAGGGAAATCACCACCTATAGACTCTTTTAAAAAGGGAAATCGGTCTTATACTTTTCGTTGACTAAACTAAAAATGCCAACATAGGTCGCTGCTTAAATGGTTCAAGTAACCGCTTAAAACCGCAATACTATATATTTGATTTTCCATTTTATTTTAATGTTTTTATTGTTTTGATCTATATAAGTATAATTTCAATATAATTCTTTAATTTTTTTTAATTACGTTAATTTAATTTTCAGGTATTACATCTTAATATATTTTTTAGTATTCCTGCGAAGCTTATTTCCCAGTGTGACCTTAATAATAACCAATCAACCCAGGGATGGGTGCTAGTAGAGACAACAACCCAAATGGAAACCAAATGGAAAAATCCTGAACCACTAAATATACCCATCCCTGGTCAAAGTTAACTAGACCTTCAAGGCCCCACTTGTTTATTAATTTACCAAAATACTCTTGGACAACAATAAAGGAACATGGACAACAATAAGTGTTCAAATATTAACTAATGCTGGCATTAAGCAAAGCTCGTTATCATGAGCCAATAGCAGTAATGGATAAATCAAAGCAAAAGTGAAATAAAAATAATCTGATAAAAGGTGATAAAGGTGCTATTATCTTGGTGTTGGTCAAGCGGATAGTAACTAAAAGTTCGATTTTTCGAGGAAAACATTTGGGAAAGCCAGAGCCTGTGGGAAATGCCTTTTTGCAGCTGCAAAAGGCTGTGTGGCGTCACTAAAAACATCGTATGATCCGGTCGGGCCCTCTGATTGGTTGAAAGTGCTTACGCATGCTTTCCCGGTCGCGTGTGTGTGTTTGTAGGGCACAGTGAGACGAAAATGATGTAAAAGCTACAAGGACCGTGAAATATTTAAACTCACGAAGGGTGTTTTAAATTATTCTATTGAATTGACATAGTTAACTTTAAACCTTAAAAAATAATTATAAACTTTTTAAAATGTAAAAAAAAAGTGGTGTTAAATTTGGGTCATTAATTTAATATTATATATGTATAACCGTTTTTTCTTCAAAATCAAAATTTGTCCCACTGTTTTCGCTGTGTAATTGCGCCGCTTAGAAACTTAATAAACAATTCCCCACTGTATGTACATACGTGTGACCATACATGCATACATGTGTATGTGAGCCCGCCAGTATTTAATTTCAAAACATTTTTGTTGTTTTCATCAGCAGTATAAACAATGGAAACGGATCCTTTGCACTTTATGGATGCTCCGATGGACGAGTCCATGGATTTGTTCAAGACGGAGGACGCCTTCGATATGATCAACGAGGTGCTGCACTCGGATATACTGGACAGCTTCCTCAATGAAATCGATATAGAGCCAGCACAGATGTACAATATGCTGCAGATGGACGACCCTCGAACGCATGCCCAGGCGCCGATCGTAGAACAACAACCGCACGTGAAGAGCGAGCACTCTTCACCAGTCCACGTCAAAGAGGAACTGCAACAGCAACAGTCGCCACTGCTCGTATACAAGCCGGATCCCCTAATTGCGTCCCATTACAACCTCCCCCAGCACCAGCAGCCAGCGCTCCTGAAGGCTGCTCAGCCAACGGCCACCATTCACCATATGGATGCCCAGCGGTTACCGCCAAGCAATCCGGTTTATTCCCCAACTTTAAGTAGTAACTTTGTGTATCAGTCCATTTCCCCGCCTACGCCGCCATCTGACTCTTCGCCTCAGAATACGAATGTCATGCAACCTATTGCTTCACCTCCGACACCTTTGGCCGTACAGACGCATCCGCAGCCCTTCATGATGTACAATCCGACGATACCGGTCATGCCCGGGGTGTTGGGATCTCCGACTACAACTACTGTTTCCAGTCCAAAACCGTCTCCACCTGTAGCTCCTCCTTCGGTAGCTGGTAGCCGGGCCAGCAAAGTGCGAGTAGCTCCCCTGGCACCATCTCCCGTAGCTATGGAAGTCCAAGGTAAGGTGGCTATTAATCGGGTGCAACCCAAGGTTAAGGAGGTGAAGCGCTCGGCACACAACGCTATTGAGCGGCGGTATCGCACCTCAATCAACGATAAGATCAATGAGCTAAAGAACTTGGTAGTGGGCGAGCAGGCCAAGCTGAACAAATCCGCAGTGTTGCGGAAATCCATAGACAAGATCCGGGATCTTCAACGCCAGACGCATGATTTAAAGGCGGAGCTGCAGCGGCTACAACGGCAACTAATGGACCGTGATGGCTCCAAGGTAAAGGATCTCTTGCAGCTAGGCACACGGACAGGTCGAGCATCCAAGAAGCGTCGCGAAAGTTCAATGACCTCCACTACGGATGCTGGGCTTACTCCCCCTCGCAGCGATGTATCAGATCCATCGCTCTCGCCAATGCACTCGGACATCTCGTTGCCGCCGTCGCCCTATGGCGGATCCACGGCCAGCTGCAGTAGCGGCAGCACCAATGACGAAATACTGGTTGGGCCCAGTTCAATGCGGGGCATGGCCACGCACTCTCGGCTGGCACTCTGCATGTTTATGTTTGCTATCTTGGCTGTCAATCCCTTCAAGACGTTCCTCCAGCGCGGGCAGTATGGCAACGATGACGATATTGGCGAACTGAGCGGTCAGAGACGTATTCTGTCCTATGGTGATGGTGGTAAGTTTACCCACCTGATTCTACCAAAAAATTCTAATTTTTCAATTTAATCCAGGTGATGGCATAGTTGATTGGCAAAATAAGTCTTTGATATGGCTGTTGAACTTGACAGTAATGCTCGGATGCCTGGTGAAGCTTTTTGTTTACGGTGATCCTCAGCTTGATTCTGGGCGAATGACGGACGCCTACTGGCAGCACAAGCAGCGGGCTGACTGCAACTTTAACAAAGGACAGTGGGCTTTGGCAAACTCCGGTTACATGAACTGTTTGCATATGTTTGGATTAAGTTTGCCAGCATCGCGATTCGAGTGCTACCTGCAGACTACCTGGCAGTTTTTGCGGTTTCTTTTTCATCGCATGTGGCTCGGCCGAGTGCTGTCACGCCGGACTGGAGGACTGTTTAGGAATGCCGACAGCCGGAAACAGGCACTATCTTCGGCACGGGAATTGGCACTATTGTTTAACCGACTTAATCAACTTCACTTAACTGGTAACGGAAGTCGCGTTGATGGAAACGGCATAATGATGGCCCTGTACGCTAGCAATATGGCAGAAGTGGCTAGTCATCTACTGACTCCTCGCGAGATTATTAGCATCCATATAATGACAGCTTTGCGAATGAAGCACAGTGCTCCCAAGTGGTTAAAGCCTCTTTTTGCCTACTATTACATGAGTCGGGCGCGCCAAGAGTGCGCTCGCACCCGGGCTGCCGAGCAAACTCAGGACGTGCGTTGGGCATTCACTCAATACGGATATCGGTATTGCAGCACGCACGACTTCAGCTACGATATAATTGACTCCAGTGAGCAGGATGACTTTTTCACTCGCTTAAGGAATCCTTGTGATCCCTCTGCCCACGTCATGAAGGTGGGTTTTCTTATATGTAGTTTTATTTAGAAGATTTCAAACTAACTAGAATTTCTTACTTCACAGCAATACCGCGAGCATTTGTTGTTCAAAGCTATTCAGTGTTTGGTAGGTGCAGGTCATAAGTCAGGAAACTTGCCCACATCATCAGCAGGTGGAGGCAGTGATCAATTGCAGCAACAGGAACACAGCGGCACTATCGTCAGCAATGTTCTTAAGTACACCTCGCTTCTGAGAGACACACTGTGGGCGGATGAAGATGACCGCGACACAAATGTGGTTTGGTGGGCGAATGTCCTGGAGATCGCAGTGCACTGGCTTCTTGGTGAAGACACGCTGGCAGAACAGTTATACGATGGCATCAAGCAAATACCAACGCACCATCCGCAGCACGGAGATAATGATCATCTGCCAAAGGCGCTACATGCGGTGCTTCGAGCGAAGATGATCCTGTTAATGTAAGCAATTGTGGATTCACGAAACAAAAAGTATAACCTATCAATGTACAATATTTGTAGGAATAATGGAAACGCACTGGACAAAAGTCTTAAGCAGTCGGTCAACGCCCTGTGCGATGAGTCAAGTGCACAGTTTCTAGAATGTTTGACGGTGAATAGGATTACCAAGGCAAAGGGAATAAAGCTGGTAAGAAAGTCTGCTCCCCGATTAAACAGCTATTGGTGACCGAATGCCAGCAGGCTCTATCTCCAGAGATGACACGCAGGTGCATTGTAGTCGCATTGTCTGTTCCACTTGCTTCAGGCAATACAACTTCAGTGCAAACTCTGTGCATTTCACAAACAACGCCGACGGCCTCTGGCAAAAGTCGCCAAGTCTGCAAAGGAAACACATTTTCATTGCTTTTTATCTTTCTAGCTTTTCCAATTGCTTACCTGTGATTGGCTGCTTGAAACTCGAACTGCATTGTGGGAGCTGGAACACATGAATATCGAGGATGATGGCTTCTACCAAGTGCCTGGTGAAGTGCTCGAGAAGTTTCAGACCGATTTGAATTCGTTACGTAGCATTGTGGAAAATATACCCGTATGTTTCGTGTTTGCGATTTCACATTAAATTACTTTAAATATCCAATATGGCAGTTCTGATAATCTAAATTTCTGCTTTTTCATTATAGAACGCCCAGTCGCGAATATATTTGTACGAGGCGGTTTGTCGACTGATGGCCGGAGCCTCACCATGCCCAACTCAACAACTTTTGGACAGAAGTCTACGATCCCGTAATTCCCACTCGTCCATCTTCTGCGGCAGTAAAGATAGGCGACATCAGAACTTTGAGGGAGGGGAACGGGAACGGGCGTCGGCTATGTACGTGGCCTGTAAGTACCTACCGCCTGCGCTGCTAAGCTCCCCGGGTGAACGTGCTGGCATGTTGGCTGAAGCGGCTAAAACCCTCGAAAAGGTTGGAGACAAGCGAAAACTAAAGGAATGCTACCAACTAATGAAGTCGCTGGGTAACGGTATTGGTAGCGTGAAATCTTAGAATAGTGTTAAAATATGTATAACCATAAGTGTCTAGAAACTGGGATGGAAGACCGAGCAAGTCTACATTGAATTTCCAGTACATTATTTCCCTATTTGCTTTCCCAAGGAAGTGGTACTTTCTAGGCCCTTTTATTTACGCTTTTACTTTATTTTCCCCGCCAGATTATGTTTAGATTGTAATTCAACAGTAATTTAATATGGAAATTCTTATTTGTTTATTCATTACCGTAAAGGTAAATCATATTTATAACAATAAATATTTTAACAGATTAACAATGCGTTTTACTGGTTGTGCATGCACTTAATTTGTTAAATAGTAATGTATGGAAGACCTATTACTATCGACTTGTCGATTAATTTTGCATAAGAGAATTGTCTGTTTAGTAAGAAAATCTTGAGTAAACTTAGGTGCGTTTAAAATAATATTATTTAAAGGCATAAATAACATATAAATAATATTGAATTCGTAAAGTCAACCCCCATTTGATAAACTATAAAAGCAGACTTAAATTGGTCAGTTTTTAAATCCTTCGTATTGAGATATTAGTCATAGGAAACACAGGTAAAATGATCGAAATATTGGTAGGTCCCAATTATTGGAGTGCCGTTCTAAGTTTTCTTGGTATGTTATTTATATATTAAACAATAATCAAAAAGTATAACGAATATAATTAGCTCAGCAATATTTAACGGATTCACATGCGACTTGTATTTTTTGGCATCCAGCGTTTAATTTTCGCTTGGATACGGTTAAACCGCTACCATTATTAATTATGGACTCACAGAAATGGTTAACTTATCCTGATGACAAAGATGTGTATAATTACAAAGGAAAACGAGATGACTTTGAGGGGAAGGGAATCCACTACAATAATTGGACTATACGATTGACTGTGGCCATAGAAAAGTCCCACTGTGAGGTATGTGTTTAGTTAAAAGTAACACTTGTCAAATATGGTATCACATTTGGAGTGGGTGTCAGGTTGGCAATGATGACAGGTGGCTCCATCAAAAACTACTTGCAAGTGTTCATAATCCCTAAAATGATTTTTAAACTGCATTTTTTAAATTGTAGTACAGCTGATTAATATATAAAAATATATTACCTTTTCCTTGATATCCGCTATGCTAACAAAGTCAAAGGTAAGCAGGAGTTTCTTTTTTGGATACGATCGTATGTCCACAACTTTGTTCAAAAATCTAATTACATCGTTGATGGGCATCTGCCAACGTTTGCCCAATTTTAGGTGACTCAGCTTGCAACAGTTTTCTAATAAAGATTCTAGTTGGTGACTAGGTTTTGCAGGTGAGTCAATGCAATCCAGGGCCAGGCACTCGAGATCTGATAACTGGCCCAGTTGGTCAACCGATTGCGCTGGCCAGTTGTCACAATCCAAGGCTTTTAATCGGGTAATGGTCAGAATGTGATGCACTTGATCTCCTCTGACACGAATTGATATGAGCTGTAACTTCTGAAGGTCATCAATACATTTGGCTACCGATCTGTAAAAATCATTGTTCACTTCAGCTATCCAACGAGAGATCAAACGCAGTGTGTGGAGAGTTTTAAAGTCGCCCAACTCCCGAAAGTTAACATCAAAGTTTTCTAGAGTAAGGTGCTCTAGGTTCGGAAACTTTCCTGCCAACTCGGGCACCAGGTGCGATCGCCTCCGATCTCTCCCAAAGTTAAGTAGAAGTCTTTTTAGGCTAATCTTGTTCTCAAACATCTGCAGGAAGGCAGGGGCACTAAGGTTTGGATCAATCCCGTCTAAGTCTAAGGTCTGCAGCTTAAGGAAATGTTGCAATTGCTCTACTGAAATTCAAAAAATGCTCTTAGAGAAAGACTTTACTACCTATGACAATCCTGAAAAGAACTACAAGTTTTTAATTCGGATTGTTATATTATACTTACATTGCGCAGATCTGGGATCGATTAGTGTGAGATCGGACAGACTAGGTAGCTCCAAGAGTAATTGCATTATGTAGCCCCTGTCCCCGGATTCCGGCGGCGTTTCTGTGACGGCGTGCATGAATATTATAACTGCCTGGCGCAAATTAGGGCAGTGGCGCCCAAGAAGTTTTAGGAACGGGTATGTGAAGGGCTCGTCCCAGCGACCGTGTGGCACCTCACATCTGGTCACTTCCGAACCACAAAGCTGCAACAGGAACTCCCAGTCCGGAATGGTTTTTAAAATCCGTACATTGATTTTTCCGTAGCGAGTTCGCAACAAGTCCGATAAAACATCCCGGAACAGATGATGGGCGCGGCCCAGATTTAGTTGATCCTCCAGCGCATTGAGATAGGAAAATATCTCCAGGTAGCAATCATAGTTAAGATCCAGGAAGCCGGGTCCCCCGCCCCCAGTCAGTTCCTTCGGCTTTCCGCCCAGAAACGAAAAGGGACAACCCAATCCTAGTTTGTCCATTCTGGTGGGATTTTATTTTACATTCACTAATTATTTTAAAATCTTTATATATTCACATATATACTGCTGTAAAGAATAATCCTCTATTTGATTTGCTATCGATAACATAACGGAACAGCTGACGATATATTTAGCGTTGGTGCATTTTCGGTTAATCCCCCTTATCTTTAAACCGATAATAACTTAAAAGTTTTGAGTTCGCATTGGAAAATATTTCATAAAATATCATTCACGACGTTATACATACTTCTTATACGCGCTTATTCTTATTTCAGACATTTCTAGCATTTCAAGAGCAGATTCCCCAGTTCGCCAGATATTTTTATCATGCTAGCATCTACTCCATTTGGCGATCTCTGAGAAATCGTTTTATATTTGCTTACACCGAAGAACTTGTAAAAGAAAATGATAACTATTTGGTTGGTTTTATATTCCAAGGTTGAAATTATTAAGACTTCAAAATTTTATAGTTATTTAATAACATCAACATTTCAGATCAACCCAATATTTTAGTAGTAACCTCTAGATTCCTAAACTCTAGCGCTTTTGACATTAAAACAAACCGTTTTGTGGGACCGCGAAACTTTGATTCAACGCCGGTAGCCGCAGAGCTCGACGTTCTTCAGCGGTACGATGCTGCGAATAAGGAGAAAATGTATAATGTTGGGATGAGGACGGCAATGTCCGCTAAAATGCGAAATCTTAAAGGACGCGAGATAGTCATAGGCATCTTTGACTATAAACCTTTTATGCTATTAAATTATGTAGGTTCTTTGTTTGTGGTAAACAATATCAAATCTTATCAATTTCTTGTTTGAGCTAGGAAAGACAACCGTTTTTTTACGATCGCTTCGAGAACACAACAGAAGTCACAATCGATGGCACTGACATTCGACTAATGCTCATATTCTGCGAGCGATATAACTGCTCCATCCAGGTGGACACATGTGAATAATAAATCATACTCCTTTAAAACTTCAATTTAATATATTTACATTCAACCACAGCGGAAACAACTGACTGGGGTGATATCTATCCTAATGCATCGGGATACGGTCTTGTGGGAATGGTACTTAATAGACGAAACGACTATGGAGTAGGTGGCATGTATTTATGGTAATATTCTTGTTCCTGTCTTCTAAATATTTATCAAGCGTTCAATAGAATTCCCAAATTATTTAATTTTCTAGGTATGAAGCATATCAGTATATGGACATGACCCATTTCCTGGGTCGATCTGGCGTCACTTGCCTAGTTCCCGCTCCAAATCGCCTAATCAGCTGGACCCTCCTGCTGCGACCGTTTCAGACTGCCCTCTGGATGGGGGTGATTCTCTGTTTACTGCTCGAGAGTCTGGCTCTTTGTGTCACTCGTCGTTTAGAATATTCTTCCGGTTCTCATTCCAATTCTTGGATTTGTAGTCTGCGTTTCGGTTTTATCATTACGCTGAAACTCTTCGTTAACCAAAGCACCAGCTATGTGACTAATTCGTATGCTTTAAGAACGGTGTTGGCCGCCAGTTACATGATTGACATAATAGTTACGACCGTCTACAGTGGTGGACTGGCGGCCATCCTGACTTTACCCACATTGGAGGAGGCGGCGGACTCTCGGCAACGCCTATTTGACCATAAACTTATTTGGACAGGTACTTCACAGGCCTGGATTACCACCATTGATGAGCGGTCAGCAGACGTAAGTAGATAACTAAAGAATAGATAAAGCATTGGGTTCAATATTATTTAAGTTTTCAATAAATAAATAGCATAACTTTTTTTGTAGCCAGTTCTGCTTGGTTTAATGGAGCATTATAGGGTGTACGATGCCGCTTTAATATCCACCTTCTCGCACACGGAGCAAATGGGATTTGTTGTCGAGCGTATGCAGTTTGGACATTTAGGAAACACAGAGCTCATAGCAAATGATGCCTTGGAGCGCCTAAAGCTAATGGTGGATGACATATACTTTGCCTTTACAGTAGCATTTGTGCCACGGCTGTGGCCTCATTTAAATTCATATAACGACTTTATCCTTGCTTGGCATTCTTCTGGCCTTGACCAATTCTGGGAGTGGAAAATCGCCGCCGATTACATGAACGCACACCGTCAAAATCGGATTGTAGCTTCTCAGAGACCAAACCTTGATATAGGTCCTGTTAAGCTGGGGATAGACAACTTTATTGGTTTGATCCTTCTTTGGTGTTTCGGCATGATCTGGAGCCTCTTAACATTTATTGGTGAACTATGGAAAGGTCAGGATCATACCGTACTTTAAGGACTTTATTTTCCCCAAACATAACACAAAATAAAATTCTAAAAATTTAAAATGTTTACAATTTATGGCTTTGTTGGCCAAGTATCTGAAGACCGAATGGAAAACTACGATTATGAAAGAGTCTAAGTTGTGCTACTTAAGTAGAGCACTTGATCGGTAACACGAGTTATAAGAGGATCCAGCTCATTATCACCCAATTCGGTGTCCCACAGATCATACAGGGTATCCGTGGCTAGCTGTACAGAGTTTCTTACAGCGGTTGTGTTAAATGTGCGAAGTGTGAGGAAGATGACAACATCCTCTACAATGGGACTGTAGGTATCGCATATTGTGTGCAGAGCACGTGCACCGCTTGGAGCAATCTGTGAATTAAAAAGTACTTAAGAATTTTCAAATATTACAAACGGAAGACACTCACTTCATTAAGGTTCACTATTAGAAAAACCTTTCCATCATTGACTTTTTCCTTGAATCGCTCGATTGCCAAACCGTGGTCCGTCGTATCCGAACCGAAGTCGTCCTTCCTCATATGAATCAGCTGTCGCGGACCACCTGTTGAAACGGTATATGCCGAAGAGCTTTATAATAAAATACATAGTGCTTTGAGGCTATATTCCGTTGATCGCTTACCGAAACACATAGAAGTTTCGGACGCAATCGCATCGATCAGATTCTGGAGCTTTGGATCCTGGTACAGGAACAAAAACACACTTGGATGCTGGTCCCTCTTGTTTATTAATCCCTCAACTCCTTTTTGTAGAGCTTTCCAGACTTTTTCCGGTTGTTTGGGCGTTAGCTCACGAATATCCGAGAAGGCACATTTCTTCTCCGAATCGTTGGAAAACGTTGTTCCCCAAACTTGGAAAAAAATTAAACAAGATAAACAAACGATAAAGGCTAGTGAAAAGTAAAGTCCATTTCCCCCTAGTTTCTGGGTAACAGTTGGAGGAATGCTTGTGGAAAGATTGTCTGCTTCAGGTTCCTCCAGAGTCTCGCTGTATTCCTCATCATGTTCCTGTTCTCCGGCTGAGGAGGTGCCTTCTTCATAACTGTTTGCCCCATCTAAAACGAAGGTATTGTTTTGGGTCACTTCTTCCTCTAATTGGGAGAGAGGTCTTGGCGATTCGCTGTGCAGTGGTCGCCTTTTCAGATCACTCATTCTGTTAAATTTTAAAAACAAAGATAATAAAGGAAAGTAAATGCCAACAAAGTGAAGTTTACAATAAAGTATCGACTTCAAAGGTAATATCGATAGCTTTCATAAAAACAGATTTAGGACAACATTATCAGACATTTGTTATTTTGAAATGAAAAAATAAATTGTACTAAAAAAAAATATATCTATTTAATTTCTTAAATGATTATTTGGTTTCAATCGAGGATTTCGCTTTAAGACAAAATATTATCGTTTAAACTTGTGAATAGAAGGATTACTTAAACCAACGCCTTCTTTTGCTTGCTGTTCAGTGTCAGACGTCGTAAACTGCACAATCCAAGGCTTTCGTTAACAGTTTTAGTGGCTTAGATTTTCTGATACCTCGTCCTGTAAATCTAAAGTACGAATCTCCTTCATTTCGTTTTGCATTCTCTTTTAGAATGTCAGCTTCAATAGTTGGTAAACGATAGTTTCTGGTAGGTGGCAACGTTAGCCTGTGGCACATTTCGCCGGCAATTTACATATATCATTTTGTTTTTATTATTTTTAAAAGTTTGTACTAGTTTTCTCGGCTGTTTACTATGGCTGCTTTGTGCATGGACTTTCTTGGCTTCCAGGTTGGGATAAAAATGTGGTTAAATGAGTTTATAGCTGGCATACTTCATGGCTTTAAGTTCATAAACAGGAGGCGCTCAAGAAGATGCGAGATGTGGACGACAAAATTATATATGCACTGAATGCCTTGCCCACAGAATCGTTCAAGGGTCAAGTGAACAGCGAAAGCACCTGCCGCGATCTGTACTCTAAACTCCAGCAGTCGCACCTTTCCAGAGTAACGCCCGAATATTTACTATTTATTTGGTTGCCTAAAAATAAATGCTTCCTTGCAGCAAGATAGCATACGCAGTTGCATAACAATATCAGCCAACAATCTAAAGCAACTGAGAGAAAAGCGGGAAGCTCATCCGGATGATGTGGATACCGACAGCCAGTTTAAAGCGGAGCAGCGCAAGGTAACGATCAGCGCTGAATTAATTTTTTACTATATCCCAAATCTTTTCCAGCTTCGAGTTCTTCAGGCCGAACTTAATGTGGAGGACATCATCAAGGAACGCAGCTACAAAACCTTTAACGAGCGATGCAGATCTTATTTTCACGCTGGCCAATAAGTGCAATGACTAGTTCTAGTTGGATTTATTAGTGGTAGACTAAAAGAACTGCCCAACCAGGAGGCATTTACATGCACTTGGTTGTATTTCAAATTATTTACAACAAGTACATGAACATTACATTGAAAAAAGCTTTTTATTATTCGCAATTGGGAAGGTTGTAGGTGTCATAGACAGATCGGACTGGAACGCTTTTCAGGGTCGCCAAGGCGCCGAGGACCTGTTGTGTAGCATCTTTCAGGTCGTTGTACTCGTGTAGTAGCTCTATGATCTTTCTTTTCTCATAATCTGATGCCTCCTTAGCTTTTATGGCAGCTTTACGCGTTTGTTTCTTTGACTCCTTCATATTTGAATAAATTGCAATTGGATTGTATTTACTGTTGTGTATATTGCTATCGATAACACATCAGCTGTATGCACTGCATTCCCGACCGTCTGGCAACCCAGTTATCCAAAACGTGTAAAATTTCCAATCTCTTTGCATGATTAAAACGCGAAAAGGATTTTCTAAAACAGGTAAATTGTACTCTAAAAGCGTGTCGGCGGGAGCCCTATTACAGTAGTTGTGGTAGTTCGGCAAAGGGCGTATCCAAGAACTAGAGAAATTGTTAATGCTGACCTAAGCTCGCACCCATACACACGCAATCAAACCAGCCGTGTGTGCACATACAATGTGGAATGTGAAAGTGTTGTGATTCTGCATTTTGCCAGGAAAACTAAATAGTTCATTAAAAGTGAACGCGTAATATGTAAAATATTTGCCAAGCAACGTAATCTAAAGATGTAGAATTAATTAATTGCTGGCGTTTAGTGAATGTTCAGTGGGCTTTCACGGTTTATAAATCGAATTTCAAATTGGTTCAGAATATCGGTGAAAACCCCAGTAATGATAATTCACTGTTCATCCTACTATTTTCCACTTAATGTCAAGGTCTAACTGTAACTTCATCTTAATTTATTTTTATTAAACCATAATTTTACAATGCCATTTTAAACATTTAAAGCGAGGAACAAACAGTAAGGTTTCAGCGGACTTCAAAATCTAGTTTTGGTTTAGATCAGAAAATCCAAGAAAATCACTTTCCATCTGGCGATCTCAAACTTGACATCTGAATTTGAAACGAGTTTTTTTTCTTAGCTTTTATATTTTCAAGAAGACAAAATGTCTGCCACCCACAAACAGCGCTATAAAAATACTGCCTTGGACTCTACGGAGATGCGGCGTCGTCGTGAGGAAGTGGGCATCCAGTTGCGGAAGAACAAACGCGAACTGCAGCTCATTAAGCGGCGCAATGTGGTCTTAGAGCCAGCTACATCTTCGACATCAACCGGAATGGAGAGCGGCGGTACCAACGAACTACAGGTGAACTTATAAAGGTTTTTTCCTAGCGCTTACCGAAAACTTGAATTTCTTTCTTCGTAGGCTGCTGACATGCAAATGGCTGACAGCACTACTGGACCGTCTCCTTTTCCAGGCGGACTAAACGAGCCAGGTACCGGAATCGGAGCTCAACCATCCGTAATTAACAAGGAGATGATCCAGATGCTTTACAGTGAACGTGAATGCGACCAGCTGGAGGCCACGCAAAAGTTCCGTAAACTGCTCTCCCGCGATCCCAATCCCCCTATCGAGGAGGTCATCCAGAAGGGAATTGTACCACAGTTTGTCACCTTTCTGCGGAACAGCTCGAATGCAACACTGCAATTTGAGGCCGCATGGACGCTGACGAACATTGCTTCTGGAACCTCGCATCAGACCAAAATCGTAATCGAGGCCGGAGCAGTGCCCATTTTTATAGAATTGCTATCCAGTCCCCATGACGATGTTCAGGAACAGGCTGTGTGGGCCTTGGGTAACATAGCTGGTGACTCACCCACATGCCGAGATTATCTGCTTGGCTCCAATATTCTAATGCCCCTCCTGCAGTGAGTAATTATAAAGTTATGTTTCTGAGTTTGTGTGACGTATTTTGGAACTTCTTGCAGTGTTTTGAGCAAATCGGAGCGCATAACCATGATACGAAATGCCGTTTGGACGCTATCAAACCTCTGTCGCGGCAAGAATCCGCCCGCGGACTTTGCCAAAATTGTCCACGGCTTGCCCATACTTGCACAGTTACTGGACTACGCTGATGCGGACGTGCTTAGCGATACTTGCTGGGCCATTAGCTACCTGTCGGATGGACCCAACGATAAAATTCAGGCTGTAATTGATGCGGGAGTTTGTCGACGTCTAGTAGAGCTTTTACTGTATGTAGTCCTCTTGTTTTCGTGGTAGTTAACCGATTCAGACCTGATTTTACTTTTAGACATCCTCAACAAAATGTAAGCACAGCCGCTCTGAGGGCTGTGGGCAACATTGTTACTGGCGACGATCAGCAGACCCAGGTGATATTAGGGTATAACGCCCTACCCTGCATTAGCCACTTGCTGCGATCGACGACGGAAACAATTAAGAAGGAATCCTGCTGGACAATCTCGAATATTGCAGCCGGCAATCGAGAGCAAATCCAGGCCATAATCAATGCCAACATCTTCCCTCAGCTGATGATTATTATGCAGACGGCAGAATTTAAGACTCGCAAAGAAGCAGTATGGGCCATTACCAACGCCACTAGTAGTGGAACCTCAGAGCAGATAAACTACCTAGTACAAGTAGGCTGTGTGCCTCCTATGTGCGATTTCCTTACTGTCGTTGACTCGGATATTGTCCAGGTGGCGTTGAATGCACTTGAAAACATTTTGAAGGCAGGTGAAAAGTTCCAAGCACGACCAAATCCATATGCCATTACCATAGAGGAATGTGGAGGTAAGTACATTTATAAATAGGCGTTACATTTAATTTTAATGTCCTAAACTTTTAATTAAGGTCTGGACAAGATAGAGTATCTGCAGGCACACGAAAACCGCGACATCTACCACAAATCGTTTTACATTATCGAACAGTACTTTGGCAACGAGGAAGAGGACTCACGGGTGGCCCCCGTTGCAGGTGCCCAGCAGTTTGAGTTCGATCCGGACAACATGCCCAGCACCGACTTTAACTTTTAGCACCATACTGGGCAGCACATCACCAACACTATCAAAATTCAAGTCCTTCTGAAGTCCGCAAAACATAGCACACAACAGGAAGCGAAGGCTTGCTGCCTAACAGGATTGAAATGGACGCCAGAGCACGGAACATAGACGGCAGGAAAGGGCAGACAATGCCTAAGTGCAGTCACTACTAGCATTTAAGTAAAGTTGGTCTTTCAGTCGGCACGTTTTCGTTTCCTAGTTACTCATACTCGTCTGCGGTTTAAAATATAATTTTCGAAGTGGTCCAGGACCAATAATGACCTTACTCGAGCATTTCTCCAGCGAAATCGCTTATACCTAGTTCGTATATACTATTTTAATATGTTATACAACCAATTGTATATGTTTTTGATTTTCTCAGATTGAGTTTGTAAATATTTTTCATTAAGCCCAACTACGTTGAAACCCTGACATGGTGTTGTTATACATTCATACAAACAAACGTACTTTACGATCATGATAACGAATAACTTGAGAAGTTTTTATTTCATTTTGTTACGCAAATCGCTGAATGTAAATTTGTTTAAATTATGAAATATTATTTAACATAAAGGACACATTAATAAAGAACAACAACTAGACCACAACTATATTTATTCAAACTTATTTGACCTCTTTAAATGTGTGAAGATTGAAATTCAAACTAAATGTAAGAAAATATTTTCGTATGCCCGTAATTAAAATTTCACAATGTTTTGAAATATCTTAGTGTAATATAATTATCACCATATCTGGTTAATAGCTAAACAACGAAATATATTTATTCTATATTCCTATATTTGACACCTACCGACACAGCATAATCCAGTTATGTATTCAGGTACGCTTCACGAACTGCACCTTGTAGGGTTTTGGAGTGAGAGTTATTCCAGGGAGAAGGACCATCGATGGAGTCTCACCAGGCGGAAGGACGATAATGAAATGCTGCACGATTCTTACCAGAAACGAGAAGATGCAGGCACGGGCAAGGGCATCGCCCAAACAACGGCGTCTTCCCAAGCCGAACGGCATAAAGTATTCGTCCTTGAAACACTTGCCAGCTGAATCAATAAACCTCTCCGGGCGGAACTCCAGAGGATCCTTCCAGTGCTCCTTATCCAGATGCACAGAGCGTAGGCTTATCAGAATGGTGGTATTCTTAGGTATATCAAAGCCCCCCAGCTTGGTTGGCCATAAAGCTCTACGGGGACCTGTGATCGGGGTGATGTGGAAGAAGCGCTGAACCTCCATAATGAAGGCATCCATGTAGTCAAAAGATTCCCGCCGACTTAAGTGAGGAAATGCATCAGAGCTGGCAGCAGCCACACTGGCGGTCACCTCGGCAAACAGCTTTTGCTGGACATCCGGTCGCATGGCTAGCACCATTAAGCCAAGGTTAATCGTATTACTGGTAGTTTGAGAGCCAGCAATGAAGAAATCTAGGATTGTCATCACAAGCTGTGTCTCGTTGAAGCTGCTGTTCTCACCACCGGCACTCCGATCCTTCATCTCCTGCAGGTAGGCAAAAATAAGATCATTATCCTTCGGTGATGGATCCTTTGCCAGCTGTCGTCGGTGCTCTTCAATGGTTTCCATGAAAAAGCCGGAAAGCTCTGTGTTTAGTTGCTGAATGAGATTAAAACCGGTACGATTGGGCGCCACGTGGCGCAGCCAGGGAAATTGGGACAGAAGGCCGCCACAGATGTCAAAGAGTTTTGAACGCCGATTCATCAGGTCAAGCAGACGGTGCAAGGTGCCATCCTCCTGACTAGCAATCCTCTTACCGGCGATCAAGCACCACAGCACATTGAGGACACTTTGAGCTAGCCAGGTGACAGGTTCAATCGGCTGCTCATCCGTGCGCTCCAATTGACCGAGCAGCTCCTCAGCTTCAAGTTCAATGTGATGCTCCATCTGGCTGCGTCCGTAGCCAACATGGCGCATCTGCTTCATGGCGAAGTGGCGATGCTCGTACCAAAGTTGTCCATCTGTGCAGGTGATACCCTTTCGTGTTCCCATGGTGCGCAAGCGCAGAAAGAAATTATCGGGTCGTCCTTCGAACACCTCCTGCAGCTGCACCTCTTTAACCATCTCATGTCCTAGGGCAACAACAACGTACTCTCGTCCCAGTTTTAGTCCCACCAGATCACTCTGGTAGTCCTGCGCATAACGCTCGAACAGAATGTGCTGTCCGCCGAGAGCCCGGGCCTCCTTACGGAACTGCCGGATAAATATATTCATTCGTTAATTCAGCTTGATATACCTATGTATATAAAGAAATAAAATTATACATTTTAATTATATGGGTTTTACCTGTAATGTGTTACCCAGCCATGGAAGAAAGCGAGGTCCTATTTAAATAAATGTTTTTAAAAATTCATATTAGTTTTTGTATATTATGTTTATTAAATCAAAAAATATTTTTTAACTCTTAATACCCGTTTCTAAATCTCAACCCGTAATTTTTTAGGGTGTACACACAAAAATATTGCTAATCTAATCGGTTGTAAATCACCGAACCGAAAGTAAAAACTCTATCTTAAAATCAAGCCCCTTGGTAATGAACTAACAATACGCCACATGTGCGTAAATCTTGTTAATTTACTGCATTTCATAACTTACGTATTTCTTTAAGTGATGGCAATTACTGAACACAATTTAAATTGCAAAAATGGGAAATATAATATTGATATAAATCTGCCTATATTCAGGAATGGCTGTCATTACAGCCATACGTACTCCCAATCCTAATGCAAAAAACTGCATTTGTAAACGGAATAAATCAGCCTGGCCCTTGTTATTAGCAATTTCAGACCAGTTAGGCAAGGTGTCACTTATGTGCGACGATTTTATCAATGAGATCTATTGGCATTCGAATCGTGTGCCGTCTGGTTCTCCACCAATGTCTCGGATCACCATTACAAGTTGCTAATGAGCTGACCAATTGGTCGTGAGGCAGGTCGTCTGCCTATTTAAAATTTATAAATAATTTTGTATATGTTAATTCATGAAAAATAAATGTATTTATGAAAACTATATTTTTTAATAAATAATCATTTTTGGTTAAGTAATATTAGAAAAACGATATTTTATTTATTTAAGCAATAAGGTATTGGCAATCTAAATTCTTAGGAAATTTTACCCATCTTATCTTTTTGGTCTTCAAGCGAAAAAGTTCAATTCCTCTTATATCCTCACTTGAACAACATGAACTTAGTCTTACCTGGGGGAAAATTCTTGGGACGCCGCAAAGAACTTATAAGTGAATAAATCACAAAGCCAATTAGAATCGCACACAGAAATATGAGGGCACTCATTTCAATAAATCTTTGGTGACCACCGAAAATGAAACCGTCAGCTTCACCGAAGCAAGGCTTTTGTCCAGGTTATTTAATGGGGAGCCAAAATGCCAGAGCGTCCGTACAGCACGCTAGCTCTATGCCAACTAATTCCGAACCCGAATCCAATGAACGAGAGAGCCGGCAGACCCAGACCCAGACAAACCCACGCGCCTGGGCTACCGCCTCTTTATGTGGGTCTATTGATAGTGCAGGCAAAAAAAATAAAATAAACAAAATGAAACAAAAAACGGGCGAAAAAGCCCGACTCAGTTGATAAACCAAATACACACATGTTGCTATATATATATGTATATACATTTGTATCATGAGTAGTTATGTGCCCAGAGAAATTCGAGCAACGTTCACGTGCTTGGCTAAGAACAATTTGTTTTTTATAATTTACTGCGATCTCTCTTTACGACAATTTCGATTGCCAGAGAGTAATGTAACCTGATTGTTGGGAACTAAGATTATTCCCACGATCATATAAGATTAAAAAAAAATCGTATCTAAGTATATCATCTTTTTAAAGTTGTCTGTTAATTTTATTGATGCAGTACAAAAATTATAATCTTATCTTAAACTAGTGTTTATACATCGAATATGAAATTTCAACCGCCGGCGCCAGCAACTTGATACGGTAGATGATCTTTGGAATGTATACAAATTTTGGATTGTAAAAGAATAAATAAAACAATAGCTCCCATAAGGAACGATCGTATGTCTTATAAGAAGACCGAGTTTTTAGCAATTATATAATCAATCTCGCTCGTCCAGGGATTCTTAAATGCACGCCATTCGCTTTGTAACTGAATGTAGCTATTGTCCTTGCACCGAAAGCGGTATACTTGCGTGGTGACCTTATCGGGCATCTGCATTACCATTTTATGAGACTCCATCAGGGCGGCGATGTCTTCGTTGTGAAAATACTCGTAGAAGCTAGTGCCCAGGATTTCCTGAGGGAGAAAACCGATCACAAGGGTGGCGCTGTAGCAAGGAAAGGAAAGAGTTAAGGTTTTTGCAACTTTATAGACTTATACAATTATATTCTATACCGTTGATCGATGAACAGAAACTTTCCCTCGCCGGAGTGCCGCGAGATGAAGAGCACGTGCCGAATGTTCGGGTGATTGTCCAGCGAGGTAGGTACTGTAGAGTTACGAACGTTGGGCGGTATACGGCCTATTGCCACTAGGCAGGATAGATTCGTTGTTTGTTCGTCGCTGTCGCCATCCTGATCCTCGTCCTTGATGGGAGTCCAAGATTTCAGATAACCTGTGCACTGGATTACCTGGTACCTGTGTCCCGTACCCAGCCTTGACTTGCGTTTTGTGGAGCTACGGGAGCTAGATGACGTGTCGGACTCCTCCTTGATCTGATTGTTATTGGCGGCGCGGAGCTTCATGCGGCAGAAAAAGGAGCGCCGGGCGCCTGGACACAGGCGGCACAAGCTTTGCGGAACGTCGGTCTTCACGGGCAACATGGCTATGAGATGTACAAAATGAAAAAATCTTTAATGACGTTTTAAATCGAAAACCTATTGGCTCACTCACTTTTCGCATCGATGAGTCTTTCCCTGGGACACTGTTCCAGTGACGAAAGTTGCTCTTTGACCTTGCCAATATCCTTTGGGTGTAGGATGTCAAACCAGCTCTGACCCAGCAGATCTGACTGGGTGCTGTTAAGCACACTAGACACTGAATCGGAGACGTATAGAATGCGTCCCCGGTCACAACCCACAACGAACAGAAATCCCTCCGAGGCCTGCAGAATGATCATCTTGAGCTCCTGATCAGAGAGGAAGCTCGGTCGATAATCGGAACCGTTAAAAGGATGCAAACTGCCGCTGCCACGGATCCCTCGCAAATGCTGCACTGCCATCCGAAGTACTGTCAGTTTGTCCAACTTCCTCTGCATCGCGAAGCACATCGGGATCATTGAGGATAGCTCATTGATGTATGTGTTCATCTTGTCCCGCCGTCGCTTCTCGATCTCACTGTGATTCTGCCTAAAAGGGAGAAGAAAAGTTTTAATTTATTTTCTCTTAAATATAGGAATAAAAAAATAAATACTGGTTACAGGATTTAAGAAAACATTTATAAATATGTTAACATTTAAAAGCAGTAAATGATATATGATCAAATTTTTTGGGAAGTATTTAAATTTAAAAAATAATTTTGAAATTATTTTACAGTAAAATAATGTCACGAAACGATTTGAAAAGCTCTAATTACAATATTCGAAATACTGAATACGAAAAACAAAATTATTATAATGCAAGTCCCAATTGGAATAAATTGTGCATCTCAGTGATCTTAAATTCAGTTGAAATTGATAAAATGCGAATAGATTCCCTTACTTTCGATTTTCATCTGATGTTCTAGCTGACTTTTCGTCGTCGAAAGTTTCATCTTCGATCTCCTCCAGGTTTTCGCTGAAACGGACCAACACAAAAATGGATTAAAAACAACCCCGTTATTTGGTGAACCAGTGGGTGGATTTCCCATGTAACGGGCGTAAACTGTTGCTTCCTCTTCCCTTTACACCGACACACCCACCTGGTAGAAGTTGTGTGTGTAAGTTTCGCGAATGTTTGTTTGTGTGGGTGCTCAACACATACACTGGAACCCAGTTTTATGTAATGTGTGTAATTTGCAATGCACTTTTAAGTGGAACATACCAAAACTCTTGTACTTCCATCACAAATAAAATAACACTTCTATATGACGAATTACGTTCTTTCTAATAGACACCCGTCGGTTTGTTTACTAACATTAAAGGCGCTAGCGCCCCAATAATAACATTCAAAACGGAAGTGTGTGCCGACAATTTGTTGCAAGCTTTTCCTGCATCTTCAGCTTGGAAGCTTCAGTGTGAACGTCTCTGAATAATATATCATGTAACTTTTAGAAGTATACCAAAATATACCATTTTGTTCTATAAATATACCATTTTTTTTAAATTAAACAAATTTGGCGCGAATTTGTAACGGTATAAAAGGATTTAAAAAACACATTATCTTTGTATTTTTTTCTTATATTTGGTATTATACAATCTCATGTCATAGATAAAAGTCAACACAAATTCAAAAAATCACAACTAAACTACTAAGTACACAAACTATTTAAAGTCACAACTTATATGTGATACATTTTATCCAAGCATATTGTAATGACTTGCATGTACCGATCCCAAAGACACCGAGTTTCCTGGTCCCTGTAAAAATATATTATAATGTTGATCAATGTTCTGAAATAGATCTTGACGGATCTTACCTTGATATCTCAAGATCTAAGACGCTTTGAGTTATGGAAGCCAAGAACTTATTAACTTGCTCGCGATTCCAACCATTCTGACGCCAAGGATCGATCAGTTTCTCACAGAGATCCACAAATAAATCACGCAATTCCCGATTGCGGTGTAAATTGCAGGCAATTGTAATCAAAGCGCGCCAGTATGAGCTAAGAAATAAAACAAGCTGCACAATAAAATAGTAAGAAAATCGATATGTGCTTACCGAAAATTTCCATCCAGCTCATGAAAAGCGCGCTCCAGAAGAACGGGTTTGAGGCGCATACAGACGAGACTAAATAAAAAGACTGAACTATATTAGAGTTCCTCAATGTTATGTATGTTCCTTACTGCTTTATTTCCTTTTCCTTATCCAGTAGACACCGCAATTCCCGCAAGTCCAGAAGAAACTCTTTGTCCATTTCTGTATCATAGTATTCCGGGCCAGTGTGCTGGTAAGTGTAGGTCCAGTATATCATAATGGCATGGGAGCAGGTCAATAAATCGCTGAAACTCAGGTATTGTAGCTTCTTTTTAGTGGTTTCGAATCGCAGACAGGCCAGAAAAACAATGCATGCATACTTTCTGTAACATTTAAATGTTTAGTTATGGGAAAATTGAATATGAATTGTTGTACTTGGCCAAGTCGGTGGATATGAAGAAATGCTGCTTTATATTGTTGGTTAGCGTGCCTGGCATCTCCTCCACTGACTTAAATATGCGCTTAACATTGTCAAACTGTCGACTGATAGAAATACCAAGCAATTAATAAGATTATCTATGTATATATTTAGCTATATACTCACCGAACTGATTTAAGCTTTACACAAGTCTTCTCGGCCACCTCGTCTAAATCCTTGCGGTAGCGTGATGTCAGTTTCTTCCCGAGTATTTCGCGGGCCACTACATCATCGATAGAGTAATACTTCTCGGTGATTAGGTCACGCATATGTGGCTCCAGCTGGAAGCAGGATTGCTCCATAAGCTTAGTGGGTGCATTGAGATAAAGCTCAATAAGGGAATATGTGCGGTAGTGGTCCAGGACATCAGAAGCAATCAGATCGCTGGGAGCCCCCATTGAGTGACCGAACCCCTTCTGTTTCAGATAGGACACCGCCTCGCTGGCTGGAAAGGCAAATCGGATGCGTTAAAGAAAGTAAGTTGGGCGATCAAGAGCTCTAAACTTACAGGAGAAGCCTTCGATCCATAGCTGGTAGATTTCGGGGTCCACTAAAGTATAATTACTTATAAAGACATCCACATCAGCCTAAATACAGAGAGTTTTAATCAGAGTTTGAATGAACATCTTTGTAGTTACCATTTTAGTGTTAGAGAGACCGTTTTCTGTAATTGATTGAGTTAGATATGAGACATCGGCAAAATTATATACACATGTACAAATATTTAAATATGCATACTTTCTAGGCTCTAAAGTAATAGAAAGTTACTACGTGAAATTGGATAATTCAATTTTTTTAGGAATGATGAAATTGTTGAAGGTGTTAGTAAATATTTCTTAATTACAAGATTTAGAGGTGTCAGAAAGCCAAAATCACGAAATACAGTTATCGATAGTTCCAATAAGAAACGATAGCTGCAACGCGCATGACAACTCTAGTTATCATGAGGAAGAAGAGGAGGATATCAACTTTTAGAGACGAATTTTAATAAAGTTTAAGCTTAAAAAATGTAAATTGCAATGAACCAGAAGCTATAAGTAAGGCAATGCAACGAGAACGCGACCAGCGCGAAATTCGTATGTAATTGGTGAGCGCGGGAAAAAAACGCGGATCGCGGCGGCAGCAGTAACAGCAGCAACAACAACAGACCGTCCGTCGTCTCGTCAGACGACGAATAATATATATCGTATATCCAATTGCAAGTTGCAATTCGATGAACAATTCAAGCGCATTAATATTGGCCCGAAGAATAAGTGAAAGTGAACTGGCATAACAATAATATGGAACAGGTCGACTCCTCAACTGAGCTGCACCTGAGGAAAGATCTGGCCGCGCTGGCCGATGATGTTGTGAAAGAAGAGGTGATATTAGAAAGCCCGGGCCATCACCATCATCATCATCACCATCAGGTAAAAAGGAGCAACAAACGCTGCGCCTTTTCGTTTTGGCTTTGGGCTTTGGCGGGGTGGCTTTGGTTCCAGACCGTGTGGTTCAGATTCTACATATCTGGATCCGAAATCGAATCTAGCTCGAAAACCAACCGCTCCGCTTCGCTCTGCGCAGTTGTGGAAAGTGGGTGGTGGGTGGGATGGGCGGTAAGGCGGCCTGGGGGTGGCGCAACTTGCGCCCTACGAACGCTCCATGCGACCCACTGGGCCACAGCCACCCCCACCCATCACCACCTTCTCCACCCACCGCATTTGTGGCGCACAAATGTTGTGTATACCGATTTTCATTTTTCCCATGCTGTGTTGTTTACTTACATTCGAATTTTCTTCCCCGATTCCTGTGCAAATCACATCGAATTAAATTGCTAACGTTACCAATTGGCCGCTGGACATTCATCCACATACATGTGACGAACGTGGGAATATGTGCGCTATGGTAATGCAGTTGGACACCAAGGTTCGCATGGTCACATCCTCCTCCAACGACAACAGCGGCAGCGGCGGCGCCAGTGGCGGAACTAGCGGAGCGGGCGGCGGTGTAGTTTCTGTGCCCGTATCCCTGCCCATCGGATCGATGATAACCGGCACCACCTTTAATGTGATCACGCCCGACCAGCTGCCCCACTTCAAGCCGATGCTGTGCGTCGACAACAATGGCTACCTGTCCGGCAGCACGGTCAGTATGGGCAATGACCTCAAAACGATCGTCATCCAGCAGCAACAAACGCAACCAGGCAACGGTGGTGGAGGCGCCAATAGTGCGGGCACCAATACAACCGCCACAAATACGATTGGACTGAACCACGACGGCTCCGGGAGCAACAATAGCCACGACAGCCTAGCCACCTTAGAGCACGCCGCCGGTGGAGCGAGTGGCGTTGGCGGGGGTGGCGGTGGAACTGGTGGTGGCTCATCAGGCTGGTCGGAAAACCCGTCCACCCAGCACATGGAGGTCTTCCAGATCCGTTGCAAAACCACCTGCGCCGAGCTATACCGCAGCAAACTGGGCTCTGGCGGTCGTGGACGCTGCGTCAAGTACAAGGACAAGTGGCATACGCCCAGTGAATTTGAGCACGTATGCGGCCGGGGCTCTAGTAAGGATTGGAAGCGCTCCATCAAGTACGGTGGCAAGTCGCTGCAGTCCCTTATCGATGAGGGTACGCTTACGCCGCACGCGACCAACTGCAGCTGTACGGTCTGCTGCGACGATGAAGCAGGTGAGTCAGGTGAGACGAAAAAAAATTACTACATACTGCGGCATGGCGGATTGGGTTGACCTGGTCATAAGTTCGTCATGGCGTCACAAGTACAAGGGACTCGCAAAACCCAAGAACAGATGACAATAATTCATATAACTAGCTTTATCCTTTAAAACTCACATTATTATGAGCAGTTAATTCATGAAGGGCATAATTGTTGGAAGGTTAAGAGAAACATGTTATGTGGAATTTAATTCAAAAAGTTCTTGATACTACATTTTTTGTACTGGCAGATATGTTAAAGATGGAGGCAAAAACGTTTACATATCGTCTGTTAATTAAAAGCAATCAATGTTAAATTGACTGCTCTTGACAACAAGAAATAATGTTACCTTTACAGCAAATCAGGCCCTTAATGCCAAATGTCATTTTGAGGTGTTACAATGAATTGTCAAAGTAATCTTTCGAATAGATTAGGAGCATGTACGTGTATTTAGTCAATATTTAATTAAAACCCTGCTTGTTCTTGAGTTATCCTATGCCGAGCCCAATGTACACCCAAAGATCAATGAAAAACATTTAATTAACCCCCTTACACGCTAATCTTTTTTAGCTTCCGGCCCTGTCCGCCTCTTCACGCCCTACAAGCGGCGGAAGCGGAATCAAACTGATCTCGATATGGAGTCTGGACCCAAGCGCAAGCGTAATGCACATCATAGTAACAACAATAATAGTAATACTAATAACAACAACACGAGCGGGAGCGGGGCCAACAATTGTGTAGATGTAACGGCCGCCGCTGTCGCCGCAGCAACAGCCAGCGTAGTGGATGAGAACAATATGTTCCTGGCGGAGGAGAATATCACGTCAAAGGACGAGCCGTGGGCAGCACTTAACGACAGCCTGGACACCTCCACCGAGTTGGTCGACCAGTCACAGATGGGCAACACATACGAACGGGAAACGTTTGTGGTGAACATCAATGATGGATCTTCCATCGCCGTCCTGGACACCAGTCAATCTATGAAGAACATCGAGCATGTCTACTGCACCATGGTTAAGGCGACCAATGACTTTAAACGCATGCTAAACGACATGAAGCAAAACTATGAGCGACGAATCGAGGTTCTGCAAAAAGAACGTGATGCTGCGGTCAGCGCGATGCGCGTCCAGGTCCATGCGGACATCGACGACCCTAATATATCCGGCTCTCTGCACGGCAACGAAATTATTTCGGCCAAGAAGGTACTATTGAATTATATTTTCCCTGGACTATTTAAGAACATTTTTATTCCAATAGTGCGCCAACTGTAACCGCGAAGCGTTGGCGGAGTGCTCACTGTGCCGAAAGACGCCGTACTGTTCAGAGTTCTGCCAGCGCAAGGATTGGAATGCTCATCAGGTGGAGTGCACAAGGAATCCACAAACGACAACGCAGCAGGTCATGCTGTTGATCGACGATCAGTCCTAAGCAACGTAACGAATTGTACATACAAATTTTACTACTAATTAATACGATTATAGGAAGTTCCCCCAAAAAGTCCATACTGAACGGTCAAGGCCACCTGCCTATAGTCCGCTCCAACGCCCACTCCCACTCCCGTTTCCCTCGATCCCCATTAGCAAGCCTGCATCCTCTTAGTCGTATGTCCTATATTAATGTAATTCTTAACGTACATATAACTATATAAATATATATACATTTTACTATTGAACGTAGGACAAGCCAGCAAAAAAAAAGCAACAAAAACAAGCGAAACGAGAATAAAATTAATTAAAAAAAAGAGAAAAATGTAGCAAGCTAAAATCAAAGCAAGTGCAAAGGCAAAGGCGTAGAGAATTAATAAGGCTACGATTTGAGAGTAAAAGAAAACTAAACCGATTACTTGTAATTCAATTTAAATTAAATTAAATTAATAATAGTTGCAAAGCGCATAGCATAACTAACAAGTCCCGATCCCAAAACATGCAACCTCCAAGCTCCCCGCACCCCATACAAAAACATAAAACACACACAATCACCGACAGTGAAAAACAACTAGAGAAAACCTAAGCGAAGATAAAAAGAATTCTGAAATTACCATACATAATCGTCTATGTATACACTTTTCATTAGACTCTAAGCGCATAGTTAAACTTTTAACATTTTACCATTATAATTTTATGGATACTACTGCCCGTTACAAGCATCCAATAAAGATTTCAAACAAGCAAAAAACATCACAATACGAAGTAAACGCAATCCGAATTCCAATTTACATATATGTATGCCCGCACAGTAATCGAACCGGAATGTAAACATATAGCTGAAAATCGAAAATCAACAATTTACAGTTTGTTAGCTGTGTGTAAATGTGTCTCGTAGGGTTTTTCCCCCGTTCTCCCGTTTGTAAAGTTTTTTGCCTACGCCCCCCAGCTGATGTAACAATTCTTATAGTCTGTAGTCTCCATATGCTAATACATTTATATATGTAGTATATATATATAGATATATATAAAATGATATCTTTAAACAACTAGATATATATTCCGATTCACGCACACACCCGACACGTAAACAGAGAGAAACCACAACCGACACACACAACACACACAGACAAATGTCGCATATGCGACAAATCGCAGATGCAAAGCAATTTACTTTCGATTTTCAGGTTCCCGCCTGAGCAAACCAATTTGAAATCTTTATTTTTATGTCTGTAATGGTTTCGGATGTTGCATTCAATTAATACCGAAAAAAGCTCTTCAGATACACTGAGAAAATAAACTCACACAGAGCACACAAAACACAAATCAAAAATTGAGCGCAAGTGCAGATAGAAGGGATAAGTGCAGAAGAAAAGATCAACAAAAATATATACATACATTTAAATGTACAAAGCCTACCTTTGTGTCGTGTTACTTTCTGGATTTCTCAGGCCTTGCATACCATATATTTCATTCATTTTGGGCGCCAAATACAATACTTTCTAATTTAGATCAAGCTTCTTATTTGCACATATTGTTAAACTCCTGGCATTTTGGAAAGCAATCAGAATCAAGTCCCTTCATAGAGTTCAAGGAAATTTTTTAATAAAAATTAAGAAATAAGCGATTTGAAAAAGAGTTAACTTTAAAAGGCAGCTGTTGAGCATTTTCAGGTTCTCAATTCTGTATAATACTAGGAAACTTATAAGGATTTGCTTTACTGCAGTCGTTATATTAACAAGGACATAACGAATTGACGTCATTAATCCCATTGTAAGTACCATTTTCAAGTCCAACTTAAACGAAATTCTTTAGTTGTATGTATTTGTTAGTTATTATGCACATGTTTCATTTATTATTGCATTTCATGTTGCTGTGTCGCATTATTATCGAATTATCAGTATGCTTACTATTATTGTATTCTATTACCAAAAATAATTTCTTAAAACTTGTTTACTCGTTTAATTTATTTATAGGTATATTATCAATTATTTTAAGTTTGCATTCTGCAACTGCTCGGGGTAGAGTGTTTGCTATGTAATTAGATTTATACTTGCCAGCGCGGTAACTCGGTAACTTGTTTCAATAATTCACTTTTTGCTCAAACTACAATTACGTGGAACTCAAAACTCCAGCGGGAAGAGCTACAGTAGGATGTTTTAAATATATATGTATATTCGTATTCGCGGGAGTGGGTGGGGAAGAGGTATACATAGAACGAAACCGATATTTAAACATACTGTTTGTTTATTTTTGATGTCTAGATTTGCATTTGTTGCTATTGGCATTTAGTAACTAATTTGTGTGATAGATTTTTCGATCAGTTTTTTGCGTATTTGCGATTTGTTTTTGAGTGGTATTTAGGTTTTACTATGTTTAAAGACTTTGTTTCATAATAAATTGATACAAAACATATACGTACAATTAACGTGCCTAAAAGTTATAACATTTCTCAATTGGCTAAATAATAAATTTATGGGTATTTTGCTGCTGCCCAATGAATTAAACAATATATATATATATAAAGAATTGCCGAATGGTTTTCTTAAAGGGGTTTTGGTTTACAAACACAACTTTTAAACGGTTAAGATTAGGATTGAACAAAGCCAATGGGAGGACATGGGAGGATTAGTATAGCGTTTAACCTAACCCGAGGCGCGGGTGACGCTTTAAGCAAAACTTTTTTACATACAATACATCGTTTGTTCGCGTTATCATATTCATCATCTTTTTGTTTGGAATCACAAATGTTAGCTAGTATTTAAATACACATGTAGGTAAGACATTCAAAAAGGAAAATTGGGGTTTTCGTTTAGCGTGGAGAATGCTCTTGGTGGTGATGGTGTTAGAGAGGCGACGGCTGTGGTGGTGATAAAATGGGTGGCAAAGTGCGGCAACCTTCAAGCTGCTTTTGCTCCTGCTTCGGATCTGGCCCTGATATCTATTCCAGCTCCTGTTCGGACTTCACTCCAAATTTCGCACTTCGAATCTCTTGTACGTGTAGTTGATAAAGACCCAGTCCTTGGCAATTTCACCGCCCTGCGGTATGGGTGCCGATGCTGCAATAAGAAATGGAAAATCATTAGCTACCTGTTTCTTTTTTTCGTTAAGAGTTTTCTTACGTATCTCCAGCGACACATCGGGAAAGTCGTCGAAATTGGACGTATCGTCGATCGAGCGCACCTCAACGGGTATGGCCGCAGGACGTTCGCGTATGTGCTCCCAATCCACACCCCGGAAGAACGGCACTGACTTCAGATCCTCTAGACCCCGCTGGGAACCCAGCCGGCGATCGGCCTCGCAACAAAAGTTGATAATCGTCTCCTTAGCCTCCTCAGAGATAGGGATCTCTGGGGGAAATATCAGCGTCTCGCGCCAATTCATCACCTTTCGGTAGGTGTCCTGGGGGTTGTCCGAGCAAAATGGGGGATATCCCATCAGCATTTCGTACATGATAACACCGAGGGACCACCAATCGCAGGCAGGTCCATAGCCAGTCTGCAGGAATACTTCGGGTGCAATATAGTCCGGCGTTCCCACTGTGCTGTAGGCAAGGGCGCGTCGGTTTCGTTTCCACGACTCGGCACGCCGCTTCGAATCCATCGGACTGTATTCCACAAAGCCACTTTACAATAGAGCACAAAGTTAAAAATGTATTTTCTTACCTGGCACAGGTGCCAATGAAATCGGATGGTTTCGCCTGTGACAAATCCCGATAAAAGTCTGTCCGATGCGACTTCTTTAAGCCAGTGCAAAGTCCGAAGTCCGAGAGCTGAAATACAAATGAAAAGCGCTCTTGGTAGCCATATCCAAGTTAAATAGTTTTATGCTCACCTTGAGATGCCCTCGCGCATCCAGCAGCAAGTTATCGGGCTTTATATCCCTGTGTATGAAACCGAGTTTGTGAATCGAGTCGATCGCCAATGCCGTCTCACTGATATAAAACTGTGTGCCCTCCTCGGATAGCGTGTCCTTCTTCATCAACAGCGTCATCATATCACCACCAGGCAAGAACTCCATTATCAAATATAAATTGACCTGATCCTGTTACGTAAGAAAAATGTTGGTTCGATACAAGAGGAAAATATTGGAATTAACATAACTAAGGATGGGTGCCAACAAATTTTAAAATTCAGACAAGTTTAAAATCTAAATCTTCGTAAATATATATGTCAGGATATAGACGACACAAGTCAATCAAATAATAATAAAGTGAAAAAGAGTTTCCCATAACCAATTTATACTGTAGTCCTGATGCATCATGATGGATTGTATGTAGGTTATCCAATCATTTAACAAGCCGGAAATAAGCGTTTGCATTAGGCAGTTACGCCTGTACAAAGAACTTTCACCAAGAAGTGGAGAAAACAGAACTGAGAAAAACAACAACAAATGCGACCAGAGAGAGGGAGAGAAAGAGAGTGAGGAATAGAGAATGAGAGACGTGACCATATGATTGGCAAGGCGCTTTTGGCATTTGCACTTGTATTGGTTTATTGATTTTTTTTGTCCGTGTTTTAACACAATTCTTTTGTTATGCGCGTTGTCCGCCCCCTTTCTACCACCCACCCGATATTATTGTTGTTTTTGCAGCTGACGTTCGTCACTCACCTGGAAACTGTAGTACATCTTGACCACCCACTGGTGATCGGCCTCGACGAGAACATCTCGCTCGGCGCGGACATGGGCTACCTGCTCCTTTTCCAGCATGTCTGCTTTGCGCAGCACTTTCATGGCGTACACATGTCCCGTGTCCTTTTTCTGGACAAGACGCACTTCACCGAAGGCACCACGACCAATAACTTTAAGGGCCTCAAAATCTTCGACGCCTAGGCGCAATCGCTTAAGGCGAAGATATTCCGTCTCCTTTTGAGCATGCTGCAGTCGTTTCTCCTGGCGCTGCGCCTCCGACAGGCTTTCATCCTTCAGCTGCGCCTCCAGCTTCGCCAGGCGCTGTTTCCGCTCACCATACTGCGTCACCAGATTGCTGTAGTAGTTTTCCAACGTCACCTTGGCCTTGGTGGCCTTGTCCAGAGTGTGGTCGCTGAATCTGATCGAGGCACCGTCTGCGTCCTGCGTTCTGCTGCTCATCATCTAAGCTGGGGTTTTTTGTCCTTTTCACCTCGGTCGTTTGTTTTGTATGATTCCTGTCCAAGGTATTGGTATATTGGTGTTTGCGGTGTGTGTGGTGAGGAGTTATGCACTTGCCAAAGCACACACACTGCTCTTTTTGCCCGTTTCTTGCCTTTTTCCTTCGTAATTTGTTGAAATTCCTCCCTCTGCTGCTTCTTCTATAAGTGCCATTCGCATTTTGCAGCCCCAACAAAGTAAAGTTGGCTACGCTTCCGTGGGATATCGATAGTTAATCGATAGCTTGTAGTGCTTTTGGGAAGATACCAATACTGAAAGCTAAACATTTCCTATCATCAGCTTTAGCTATTTACGGTGATTCAACGCTGATCTTTCTCTACTTAAAAGCTAATGCAAAACAAACAGATGCGTTTTGTAAATACAAGGCTTACAAACTTTTAAACTATTTATCTTAGTTATCTGTGATTAAAAGCATCCTATATAAAATTTCGTGGATTTAGCTATCTTTTTTCCCGCTAAAAATGTTTTTTCTTAAAATTTGACAACACAGCTACCCAATTAGTAAATAAATAGAGCTTACCGACTTGTCGGTGATTTTTCAATGTTGAGCGATAATCAACCAACTACATTTATTAATTTGGTCAATTGGTGCCTGTGACCTCTCCAGACAATGACCAAAGTCAGCTAATAATGGCCCGCATTACCAGTATCCTGGATTTGGAACCCAGTTCCATTTTGTACATTTTCAAGCTTCTTAGCTTGGAGGACCAGTTGCACCTTGCCCGATGCTGTCGCGTGTTTAGGGACGCCTTCCTGTTCCTTCACCGCTACCATTTTCAGAAAGTTATTGACAAGGATATGAATTTGAGGACTCTTGAGGACTGGCATACCTTTTTGTGGCTGTGTGGCGGGCGTGTTCGTACTTTGGAGTCCCACTTTGACGATGATCATCCACTGCAATTGCTCCCCCTGATCAGCAGGCACTGCTACCGACTGGAGGGAATTTCTATATATAATGCAACAGTAGCCCGGGCCCAGCCGTTTTTGCTAAGAATGAGTACACTGGAGAAGGTGCACGTGCGCAATTATAAAAGCACCAGCAAGGACCTAATAAAGGCTATAAGAATTCACTTGCCGCGAGTCATCAGTCTGAGCTTGGAGAGCTTCGACCGTAGGGAATGTAAGTAGAATTGACCATTTTTAATTTGATCTAAAGATCTCCATTCATTTTCACATTCAACCTGGCAGTACAAGAAGTGCGACACTTTAGTGAGATGTTGGAACTGGGCCTATACGACGAGGTTACTGCCTCGGAATTCGCAACAATCGTAAAACCAATGAGAAAGTTACGTTGCCTACAGCTGCGTAACGCCAAACGCTTTCTAATCACCAGTAATCTTAGGATGCTGGCTACTAACTGCCGACAGTTAGAAAAACTAACGTTCAACGACTGCGAGGCCGATCTGTTAGTCCTGCCTCAGTTTGCGAACCTAAAGTACCTGCAAATATACTGCCCGGAGGACTTAAAGACCCGCCTTTTCAAAGCACTGGCCAAAAGCTCAACTAAGCTGGAGTACCTAATCCTGCACCGTAAGCGCTGGATTGACGAAGAACAGGCCCAGTACATCAGTGTTTTGAAGGCACTCCGATGGCTGGTTTGCAAGCCTCGGGATGATCAATGTGTTCGCCACTTGTCAGAATTAAGACAGCTAGAGTGCCTTTCCCTGCAGGCCGCTCGGGAAATCGGGGAAACACAGCTCTCCCTTCTAGTGGCCAACAATGACCGGCTGCGTTATCTAAACATTTGCTATTGCCTTGGCATCACAGACGCCTTCGTCCTGGACACCCTGAGCAGTTTATCCAGACGCACAGTTCAACAACCTCTGCAGCTTTTTACTGCTGCCACGGACATCAGACATGACATCATGGAACGGGTAAGTAATCAAATGCGTGTACAAAAGTCCTTTGTTTAATGTGACGCCTTGCGCTTTGTTTAAAGCTGTCAAATGACTTTCCACTCAATATGCTCTGCCTTCACTTCGAGTGCAGCGAGGGAATGACCAGCGGCGAACATTTATATGCAGACGAGCCTGAATTCGACCGCCAAACTGTATGAGGCTTTGTTTGTCCGACTTTCTTTTGACATTACCAAAAATCCAACCTAAATTAATACATCTTTATATACAGCTTTATTCGTGATCCTATCACTTTGAGTGATATTCTTTTGTTATTGCACTACAATGTATTCAATTTTTTCACTAAATAAATTAAACATATGATATAATAATAAAATTTGTGTTTTTTATGTACTCAGATTACATTGTAGGTGCCAATTGAACAATATAAACCATATAACAGTCTTTATTACACCTGAAAAATATTAATTAATATTGGTTAGTTTGGATAATCTTTTTGGATTCTTTAATCATTGGTATCATCTGATAATATTGGTTAATTTACTTAACTTGGGTGTTCATATGAACTAAATAATTTATTATTTTTTTATTTTAATTACCGTCAGCTGACTTCCATGCAATTTGTACTGGTCAGTCTCTTGTCATGTAAGCTGATTCAACAACAATGCCGGTATCGATAGTTTGTCTTCTAGTTTAACGTAAAATATTTTTTCATCTGGTAACACTGATTGGATTAGGATTGTTTACGAATTTCACAAGTCAGGAAAAAATATAAATTCGCCGAATGGTAACACTAAAAAGAAAATTCGCTTACAATTTTTGAGAAAAACGCAACTAAAGGGCTGCAAAGATGCTGTCCATGTTGCAGGAGAAGCGTCCGCTGAAGCGCACCCGTCTGGGTCCGCCGGATATTTATCCGCAGGACGCGAAACAGCGGGAGGACGAGTTGACGCCCACGAATGTGAAGCACGGCTTCACAACGACGCCGCCTCTGTCTGATGAATTTGGGACAGCCCACAATTCGAATGTGAATGCTAGCAAGGTAAGCACCTTCTTCAACGGCGTTTTGGCCAAGAAGGAGGAGCTTATGACCCTCCCAGACACAGGGCGCAAAAAGCAGCAGATCAACTGCAAGGATAACTTTTGGCCCGTATCACCGCGACGAAAGTGCACAGTCGACGCCTGGTTCAAGGATCTCGCTGGAAATAAACCTCTACTTAGTTTGGCCAAACGAGCACCTTCGTTTAACAAAAAGGAGGAAATCTTCATTACATTGTGCGAGAACCAGGTGAACATGCAGCGCGCCACATGGTTTATCAAGCTCAGCGCCGCCTACACGCTCAGCTTCACCGAATCCAAAAACAAAAAGCGCAGTATCTATGACCCTGCCGCTGATTGGACAAGCAACATGATCAAATTCATGAAGGAACTGCTACCCAAGCTGCAGGAGTACTATCAGCAGAGTTAGTTTGGTCTTTTAAACTTATCTTTTATCTGCATTCATTAACACATCTCTTTTGTCTTAGGCCACGAAAAGTCCTCTTCAAATGGCAGCACTGTTGGAAGCCTGACTGCCTCCGGAAACGGAACTGGGTCCAATGGTACCTCAGCCCCCGGCACTATTAATTCCGTCGCAGGCAGTGCTCCAACAAACGTTATTCCAGTGCCCAGCATGGCCAGTCCTTTGCCTCCTATTCACAGTCCAGCTAATGGCCAACAAGGAGCACCTGGCGGAGGAGTGGGTTCTGGTAGCGTCTTGCCGAATACGGGAAGTCTTGGAGGAGTTGGCGGTGGGCCCGGATCTGCAGTTGTTGGAGGCGTCGCTGGCGCCGGAGCTACAGTGCCACCGGGCTCTACAATTTCCGGGATTGGCAGCCAGTTCGAAGACAGTCGTAATGCCCTGAAATATTGGAAATACTGTCATCAACTAAGCAAGTATATGTACGAGGAGTCCCTGCTAGATCGACAAGAATTTCTTAATTGGATCCTCGACTTATTGGACAAAATGCGCACCCAAGCGAGCTTCGACGAGCCGCTAAAAAAACTAGTACTTAGCTTTGCCCTTCAGTATATGCACGACTTTGTCCAGTCGGAGCGTCTCTGCCGAAAGATGGCCTATATAGTGTCAAAGAAACTTGCTCAACTGCTCAATACTTTGGTGGAACAACAGGCCATCAAGGAGCTGGACGAGCCAAAGTTGCAACAGGATCCCTACGAGCTTGCGCTGCAGGAGCAAATGAGTTGTCCCCATCACAGGGATATAGTGCTATATTTGAGCACGATCCTGCAGATCATTACCATCGAGTGTCCTACAGCACTGGTCTGGAGCGGTATAGCAGCTCACCGAGCACCATCCTCTCTATTGGGTAGTCCCCTGGACCACCTTCCGCTAGCACCCTCTGTACTGCCGATGCCTACGCGATGTCCTCGAACTAATCAGGAGATCCGGCGTCAATTGAGAGCTGCTGAATCGGACATCGTGCTGCGCACTCAGCACGCAGAGCAGCGCTGGTTCGCCGCAAAATGGTTAAGTGCTGGCAAGAATCAATACACCAGTGTGCTGGCCACGCTGGACCACCTGGACACGCACTGCTTTGATCGTATGGAACACAATAACAGCATCGACACTCTGTACGCCCATATATTTCCCAGTCCAAGCGCTAGTCGTCGGCGGGAAGAGGATCAGATTGAACCACGTCCAGCCTACGAACCGAAGCAAGATAAGGACACGGTGCGCATTCTGTGCGAATGGGCTGTGTCCGGGCAGCGTTGGGGCGAGCACAGGGCTATGGTTGTGGCCATTCTACTTGACAAGCGTCAGATCGATGTGACTAGTACGCCAGCAGACCAACATTCCAGTGATAAGGACTCGCTGGCATCAGGCGCCGGCTTAATCGATGGCCTGCCTGTGTTTCAGCACGTGTTGATGCATTTCCTCGACCATGACGCTCCCGTTTTGGATGAGCATGTGAGCAGCGCCCAGCAACGAACTGAGTTCACCAATCTTGTACAGCTATTCAGTGCCTTGATTCGGCATGATGTTTTTTCGCACAACGCCTACATGCACACGCTAATTTCGCGTGGAGATTTACTACTTGAGTCTGTGCTGGTGATCAAATCGGGAACAACGGCCACGAAAACATCGCCCCCACCTCCAGCTCCACCACCGACAACAACGCACGGATTTGATGATGACGGTTTCGGCGGAGGACTTGATTTTAAGCACAACGATTTCGACGATTCGAATGTGGACGACGACCTAGACAAACTGGTGCAGAATATTAAAGAGAAGGGACAACAGCACGAGGCTCCTGATAGTCCTAAAATCGGTCCCCCAGGGGATGGTGAAACCGGCACTGGTGGAAGTATATCACGGCACTACGTTTACACCAAGCACTTTCCCATTCCACAAGACGATCCCAGCATGAGTAGCTACAGTAGCGAAAGCAATCAGCGCTACATCCTCCTTTTTGGAGTTGGCAAAGAGCGGGATGAGAAAAAGCATGCTGTTAAGAAGATGTCCAAGGAGATTGGCAAGCTCTTCACTAAAAAGTTTAGCATCGATGTAGCAGCTGCCGGCCATGTGAAAAAGCATTCGCGCAATGAGTTCAATTTCGAGGCTACCACGTCCAAGTGCCAACAAATGGCTTACTTCGACCAGCACGTGGTCACCGCTCAATGTGCGGCCAATGTCCTGGAGCAACTGAACGGATTTGCCTTGGGAAACAACAACTATCTTCCGGTGCAAGAGCACGTCGCATTTTTGTTTGATCTTATGGAGCTAGCACTCAATATCTACAGCTTGCTGGAACTGTGTGATAGCCTGTTGAAGGAGTTACCTGAAGTGGAGCACCAGTTGCAACTGAAGAAATCAAATCTGGTTCGAAGCTACACCACCTCGCTGGCCCTATACATTGTAAGTATCCTGCGGCGCTATCATAGTTGTCTGCTTCTTTCGCCGGAGCAGACGTTGTCGGTTTTTGAGGGAGTCTGTCGCACCATCCGTCATGTATCAAATCCGAGCGAGTGTTCTTCGGCAGAGCGTTGCATTATCGCTTACCTTAGCGACCTACACGAGTCTTGCGTTTTGCTTCAGGGCAAGGAACAGTCCACGGAGTACTATCAGCAACTCCAGTGCATCAAACGTTTTAAGGACATTTTTAATACCCCAGAGCAGCTTGGGTGAGTTTACATAGTAATTTCTCCTCTCAGTTATTAGAAATTCCCTTTTTAGCATACCTCCACAGGGTTATAATCCTCAGTTGCTGCAGGAGCTCTTTATGGCTCCTCGGCGCGGTGGTAAACTGGATCCCCATTGGCTGGGAACTCTACACGAATCTCCTGCAAATGTGTACAGCTTCGTGTCTAACGCTTTAATTGCTGTATGCCGAGAGACGGACAACGAGCGACTAAACGATGTTGCTCTTGCATGTGCTGAACTGACTGCCAGTTGCAACGTATTGTCCGAGGAGTGGATTTACGCTCTACAAAGCCTGTGTAGCGGCAGTAAGAGTCCGCGGTATCCACACCTTGGCGGACAAGTTGACATCGGCCAGGGCAAGACGCATAACGCCCTTGCCGTGTTCGTCTGTATCCTGGTGGCCAGGCATTGCTTCTCCCTAGCGGACTTTGTAAGTAAGTTTGCCTTGCCCACGTTGGCCCGATCTGTTAGCGCTGGTGGTGCCGAATTGAGCGTGGACGCTGAGGCTGGTGCACGTCTTACGTGTCACCTGGTGCTAAAACTATTCAAAACCTTGGAGATCCCACAACCGGGAATGTACTCAGTGAGCACGTCTCCGAATCCCCTACATGCCGTAGGTAACGACTTTAGCATCCGACTGAGCTGCGATCGTCACCTACTTGTGGGAGCCCACAAAACAATACCCATTGCTGCAGTGCTGGCCGTCCTCAAGGCAATTCTCATTGTGGTGGACAATGCGGCGCTTAAGACTCCATTGGCTGCTGGCAGCGGCTCCTCCTCCGGTGGATTGGGTGGTGCTTTTGGAAGTGGTAAGCGGAGTGGGTTTAATACCCCCGTTCATCCAGGTAGCACGCCGAAAAGCAACGAACAACGACCCGCCGATCTCAGTCAGATTCTGGGAACCAGCGATCTGCAGTTGGGCAGCAGTTTAACAAGCGAACCGGAAGCTTTGCAACAGCCGTCGGTCGGCGGAATGGAGCAGATATCACTACTGGAGTTCGCCCAAGCGGTGCTTAAGCAGATCTGCGCTCAGGAGCACGTCCTGGAGAGGTGCCTTAAGAATGCAGAGCAGTTGTGTGACATGATAATCGACGAAATGCTGACCGCCAAACAGGCACAGCGAGTTTTGCACATGATCTGCTATCCGGAGGCTGAATTTAACATAATATCCGAGCTAGACCAACGTTCGATGATTGTTAGAATTCTAGAGAATCTGGGTCAATGGACACTACGAATCTCCTGGCTGGACCTGCAGCTTATGTACCGCCAATCGCTCAGCAATAATGCGGAGTTGAATGTGTGGCTTGACACGGTAGCACGCGCGGCCATCGATGTCTTTCACATGGAGGAAGTTGTTCTACCCGGTGCTCTGAAGGCAACACACAAGCCTAAACCGTCAACCTGGCTGGTAGCACCACTCATAGCCAAACTTACGCCGGCAGTTCAGGGTAGGATTCTGCGAGTTGCTGGACAAGTTCTCGAGAGCATGAACTATTTCTCGAAGGTATCCAAATCTGATTGCAATAGTTCAGGTAGCGGTGATGAGCGCGAGAAGAGCAACAGTTGCCACAGTAGCAATAGTTATGGTCTCGGAGGTATGGCCGCACGCAACAAGAAGATGCCGCTTAATTACCAACCATTCCTGGGTCTCATCTTGACTTGTCTGAAAGGCCAGGATGAGTATAAAGAGAATTTATTGGTTTCCCTCTATTCCCAGCTTTCGCAATGTCTGCAATCCTTTGCTGAGGTGAGTGCTTAATTAATTATTTTGCCTTGAGAGCTGTTATTAATATTTTCCTTTTTAGTTGGACACAATTGGTGGTATTGATGAGCCGCAAGCACGCGAGGAGATTCTTGACGCTTTGCAGTTGCGATTTTCGTTAGTGGGCGGAATGTTTGAGGCTATCCAAAAAAACAGCACTCCCACCACAGATTGGGCCATTCTTCTAGCTCAACTTGTTTGCCAGGGCGTTGTGGACCTCAGCTGCAATCGCGAGCTCTTCACAACCGTGGTGGACATGCTGGCCACTTTGGTGCATTCGACGCTAGTCTCTGATGACGAGCGACACTATATGAATCTGATGAAAAAACTTAAGAAGGAAATTGGAGAGAAGAACAACGCTTCCATTCGGGTCATCCGACAACTTCTTCCGCTCTACAAGCAGCCCACCGAGGTAAGTTGTTGACTTACCATTGGATACATTTGAAAACCAATGGGCATTTTATCCGTTAGGTGATTGCTTGTGAACACGCTGGAATGGACACCAAGGACAAGAAACAACTGCGCATTTCAGACAAGCAGCGGATCAGTGTTTGGGATATTTTGGAGGGCCACAAAAACCCGGCTCCTCTTTCGTGGGTGTGGTTCGGAGCAGTAAAGCTGGAGCGAAAGCCCCTTACGTACGAGGAAGCTCATCGAAATCTGAAATATCACACGCACAGTCTGGTCAAGCCCAGTAGCTATTATTATGAACCATTGCCTCTACCACCAGAAGACATTGAGCCCGTGCCTGAGAAGATTTGCCATGTAAGTTCTATCTATTGATATTTTTTTTGCTGATTCCTAAAGCGGATTACTTTTACTTCACAGAAGGATGAAATGAAGGCGGACACTCCCTCGTCGGTGGATCAGTCGCCCAGTGCTGGAGCGGGTGGCACAGGAAGAGGGCGCGGTAAAGGAACGACGACGCGGAAACGTAAGGCGAAGAACCCGAAAACACCTCCTGTGGTTAATACTCAGCAACAGCAGCCCCAGCTCGCTCCACAGCCGCAACAGCCTCAAAATATCCAGCAACAGCAAATGCAGCAGCAGCAGCAACAGCAACAACAGCAACACATGCAACAGCAACAGATGCAGCCCAATCCCATGGGTCAGATGCCAATGAACATGCCGGTAAGATAAGGATATTAAATACAACTGCCCTTTATGAGAAGCGAATCTGTTTTTTATAATTTTCTTTACTAAGTTTGTATAACCAAAAACTAAGCAACCAACAGCAATCAAAATAATGACACAAAAATTCAAAAATTTTATAATTATAATCCAAATTTTTTTAACCTTTTTCGGTGCTTAACTATTTTTTTAAATTCCTTCGAATTTAATCTAATCTCTTCCACAGATGAACATGCAGCAGTTTGCACCCAATCCGAACAACATGATGCAGCAGAACGCCATGATGCAGCAACAGCAGCAAATGCAGCAAATGAGCAACAATCCGCTGCAACAGCAGTTGAATGTGGGCGGCGGAAATGGGCAGCAGAATCCGCAGATGAACTTTATGCAGCAAGGACCGGGAGGAGGCGGATCAGGACCGCAGGGTATGCCTGGTCAACAGCAACAGTGGCACAATGCACCGCAACAGCAGCAACCGCCACAGCCGTACCACAATCAATACGCTCCTCATCAGCAAAGTATGCAATGTAAGTCGGATTTTAACGGTTTGAGGCGAACCAAGTTTCAAAATCCTTGTTAATTATCATTATAGCAAATCGCATCGAACGGCCGGCGCTGAATGCCAACTCGAAACAAGCTCTGTCTCAGATGCTCCGACAGCGACAGGGACCTGGTGGTGGCTTCAATCCTATGCAACAGCAACCGAATCCCTCGCAGCAGCAACCTGGTCCTCAACAGCAGATGAATCCCAACCAGATGCGGCAGCAGCAAATGAATCCACAACAGAATCCCCAGTCAGTGGCCGCTTTCAACGCAATGCAACAGCAGCAGCAGAATGCCCAGCAACAACAGATGAATCCCAATCAGCAGCAGCAACAACAATTCATGCGCGGCGGCAATCTGCGGCCTGGCATGGCGCCCAACCAGATGAATCAAATGAATATGGGCGGCCAGGGCATGCCCCAGAATCCAATGATGCAGCAGCAGATGCCACAGAATATGGTCGGCATGGTAAATCCGAATGCCAACCAAATGATGCAGTCCGCTGGATCACAGGGAGGCAACGGTGTGGGAGTAGGAGTTGGTGTGGGTGTTGGTGGAGCTGGCAACAATCCCAACATGGGCATGGGAGGCATGCCTCAGCAGGGTATGATGCAACAGCAACCGCAGCAACAGCCGCAGCAGCAGGTGCAGTTCCAAAACTTCCAGAATCAGTATCAGCAGCAACAACAACAACAGCAACAGGGAATGCAGCAACAAGGCGGCGGAGCTGGTGTTGGAGTGGGCGTGGGCATGGCGCCCAATCAGCAGCAACAGCAGCAGGCCAACATGATGGGCAACTTCAATCCCCAGATGCAGCAGGCGAATCGCAACAATCCAGACTTTATGGCGGTCGCAGCAGCTGCCCAGCAGCAGCAACAGCAACAACAGCAGCAGCAACGCGTTGTTCCCGGAGGAATGATGGCTGGAAATCGAAACCAGTACATGAATCAGGCACCCAACGTAACTATGTCCAATATGATGGGTCCGGGTCCAGGCGGTGTGGTCGGTCAGGTGCCTCCGTACGCTCGTCAGCAGTCGGCGGGTGGCGGCAAACCGGGTGTCTTAAACACACAACAGCAGTTCCAGCAGCAGCAGCAACAACAACAGCAGCTGAGGCACCAGCAAATGATGCAGATGCAGGGTATGGGTGGTGGCGCCGGCGGGGGTATGGGATCCGGGCCGCAGCAGGCGGGTGGAGCAGTTGGTGGAGGAGGGGGTGGCGGAATGGTGCCGCAGCAGCAGAGCATGAACCAGCAACAAACGCCGAACCTGGTTGCTCAGCTCCAGCGGCAAAATATGATGGGCCAACAACAACAGTACCAACCGCCACCGTATTAGATCGTAGACACTCCTTAATCGTAAGCCTAGTCCTAATCATTTATTTATCAGATGTATTTGCAATAAACGTACATTCAAAACAAACTTTAAATAAAATCTGGACTATATGAATTATGAATATATAAATGCGTTCATTTCGGGTTTAAAATGGCAAGTGAACGTATATTAATGTAAACACAAACAATATATAAATTGTATTTTTTAATAAATTTAATATCCTTTAAATATCCGTTTTATTTGCCTGTTGGACTAATTACGGTCAATTACAATTCTTTAAAAAGAATTGAAGAATAACCTAATCAAAATATTTTCTTCGAAAAAGTAGAAAAGTAACTGTAAATATTTTTTGTATGAATCATTATTTAAAATTCAAATGAAAAAATGAAAAAGTTTTAATTTAAAACAAAAGCTCTATGTTTCCTCATCGCTTAATATCGAATGTTTTCCCATCTCTAATCAGCTGTTTGCTGCGCTGGTGTGCGTGGGTGTTTGTATATGGATGTGAATTAGAAATAATACATTTTTCGGTGGCATATTTTAAACATTTGGTTACCAAAGTTTGGTATAATTAGAACTAAGTTTTAAACAAATAAGTGCAATAGTTCTGCTCCCGAGAGAGAATCATAGTTTTCAGGACTGAAAAAACAGCTTCAAAACGCGTCCGTGGAACATTTCATTCATCGATTGGGTTGAATCTCGATTCAAAGTGCTACTTTTCACAGTATTGTTTGCAAGTGCTCGGCAAGAGGACGTGTTCTTTTAGTGGGTCACATCATAGATTGATTCCAGTCAAAAAATGAGCGAGGTGCCGGAGAGCAGTAAAAAGCGCCAGAAAACGGTAACTATTCGATATGTGGCCCTGGCCGCAAAGAAATTAATTTTTTTCTAACTTTATTTGAACAAGTGATCCAAAAAGAGTATGGTTGCAGCTGTGAAATGTGTCTTTATTTATTATTTTATTTAAACAGCCTTTGGTTCTTTGACAATTAATCCAGATCCCATCCCAATCTCCAATGCCCCAAACTCATTGTTTACGTTTTTCACTTTTACTTAATGCAATGATGTTTTTCCATATGGAGCGGAAGACACGTAATGCTGAAATTTCCGTCCCAATCTTATCTCACTCTATGACTTTGGTTTCCTAACCCAATTTTAATTCGCACTTCACTACCAAAAAGCATCTAAGAGGCAAACGTTATAATGTATTCCGGGAAGTATTGATAAGGCGCAATGAATATCAATTTAAAAGATTATTTTCCCTACACATTGTATTTTTGAAGTGCAAAGTATGCAAATATTGTCTTCACTGATTGTTGATTCAACAAAAACATTTCGACACATGCCAATAAAAACGCAGACCTTTGCATTGATCTAATTAAAAAGCTTCATTTCTAGTAGTCTCAAAAATATAATATGATTAAAAATAAGCTTTTATTTAAACGTACTTTTTGTAATTTTGAGATAGGTTAGGAATTCACAGTAGTATTAAAAGAAAAAGATAATCTTTTTTATTGTATTCCCAAAACGAAAGTCTCCATTCGCAATCACGAATAATCTTTAAAGCTTTTAAAATTATTAACTACTCTTCAAATGCCTTATGCAATATGCAACTATTTCCTTTATAACAACTGGTTACCACAGCAAATGTTATTGCTTTTGACTAAAACAGGTTCAAATTAGAAAGAAAGTCTTCCGAGCCAACTAAAGTGGTACCAGTAAACAAGTCAAGTTGAAGACTTGGGCTCAAGCTGGCCAAAAGTAGTTGAAAACTTGGTCAACAACCCGGCATCACAACACTTGCAGGTTGAATGACCACAGTGATAACTTATGGTTGTATCTTCTTTCCGTGACATTGTTTTTATATTTGCTAATCATATTTCGTAGGCAGATCGACACCGAGAAAAAATATTACTACCTTATAATTATAAAAAACAATAATTATTTTCGAATTTATTAAAATTGAAAATTAATTTTCCCTTAAAATTGCCATTTTGTCATGTATTGGCATTTTGTTTATGGTTTCAAACAACTTTCTAACTTCCTATTAAACCTAGTAATTTGCAACATTAGGCTTTAATGGCTATTATTTTGAATTGTCATTGCCTAATGAATATTACTTTAACCATTATTAGTGATTACCTAATTCAAGGACTTTTCCAATTTAAATAGATAAATGACAACAGCTAATTTGCTATTTCTAAAGAATTAGAGAAGTTTAGAGGGAAACATAAGTTTAACAAAATAAAAGTTTTTGTTGATAAAATTCTGGCCTATTTTCACTGTTGTGAAGACTATTATTGATTTAAGTTAAGTCCCAAAATATATTATTTACGCATACATCAAAGTGGTATGTACTTAGCTGTTTAAACGACTGTTTGTCTGCAATAAAAACGAGGCAAATTTCAGTCTCACTAAGAGGGGTTTATTAGCTAAGCACCTCCATAAACATGTTCCCCCATGTGGACCACCAGTGCCATATCATACGTACGACTCCACTCCGTAGATCTCTGCCAAGTGCCAACGTAGCTGCCTGGTTTTCTTCTCGGTTGCAGTCCGTGGAATTTCAGTTGCAGTTTCGAGCTTCGGCGAGAAAGTTCATCGTTTTTAGCGGTTGACTGTGGTTTCAACTGTCTGTGAAAACTCTCACTTGTTTAATTATCAAAGAGTACATTGTTCGACTGCCGCTTTCTTTCTTTTTACCTGCCAAGAGTTCGTTTCGTTTTGTGGAAAAATGTTTACCCGATGTGCCAATTCACTTGGCCACTATAACAATAATAATAACAATAACACTGGCTATGCTGCTTCCCCGAAGTGCTGCCTCCCGAGTGTGGCAAAACCAGAAGATGCGGTAAGTGCCATTTGGATGAGGCATTTTAAAATACTAACCGCAAGTAGAAGATGTCGGTTTGTTTCCTTGAATTGGTTAAAAGATCAGATAAACAAAAATGTTCAGATATATTTTTCTGATTGTATTATTTATATACTCTACTAACTATTTTAGGGTGGTTTTTAAGTATGTATAACTTGCTCTAACATTTGTGTCAATATTTAAACTTTTTAACATTTTTGTACAGTAACGGGCTTAATGTGTTGTAAGAGCCCTTCAACTTACTTAAGCATTTCGAAATAGTGGAATTATGTCAAATGTACCTTTGACCTCATAAGAACCAAAAATTAAAAGAGAATACTAAGCAGTAAAGGTTTTAAAAGAGAAAGAAAAAACCAGATTAATAATCAAACAAACGCTGAAAAGACTGTGCAAACATTTCACCATATGGAACCGGAGAATGTAAATGATGCGTGCGTGGATCACCGATCGAGAGATCAGGGCAAGACGAACTTATAGTGATCTCTCAGCTTCTCACACTCTCTTTGGGTTTCCTTCTCCAGTACTTTTTGGGCCAGAGCGCGCCATATAATACCATAAATATTATTGAAAACTTTCAGTTCGCTTTCGACGCTCGTCGCGTGTCTATGACGAAAACCATTTCGCATCCGTGGTCTCGTTTTCAACGTAATCTGAATCGAAACAGCTTCGCTATCGCGACTCAATGTAAAACAATTGATCAACCAAAAGAGACCAAGTGAAAATAGATTTACTTTCATTGAATTTTAGAAAACAAATCAAATATAAACTATAATGCCGAACCCTCCCATTGGATTTTATCCCCATATTAAGAGAAGGGTAAGCCCCAAAACGGCTAAAAAAAAAAATACATATACCAGTGCATAACTTAGATATTACACTTTTCTATAAATGGATACCTAGAGATAAAAAGCTATAGATAATAAAAAAGATAGAGGTTCATATAAACGAAATCACTGTGCCACTAAATACTTAAATCTAAATTAGCCTGTTCAGTAAGCGTGAACCAGAGGTGGTTTGCTTTTTTATGAGAGTGAGATCAGCGGTAAAAGGAATATGCACATACATTTAAATGACAATCTAGCACAGTGACCCACTTCTAAACCATATACCAAGATTGCTCGATTGATAAGAATTTTATATAAAAATATTGTCAATTTTATATAGGATTTTTATTAAAATTAAAAACTAAAACTGAGTCATTTTGTAGCAAGAAATAAAGAAGATACTAAAACTGATTCATTTTATGAAAAAAATGCGGCTCAGAAAGAAATTGAAATTAGTTTAAGGTCAATCCAATCCATAAACCCTTATCTGAGCAAGTAAAAAAAAGGTTAACGAAACAGTAACGTGTAGTATACATATGCGCACTCCCAGTGTGAAATCACTTTGATAGAATCCATACCCTTGGGTTTGCCCATATCGCAGAATTCCATTCGCGATTCTGCACAAGCAAGCTCCAGCGGAAGGTCAACAAACTGAACGTTGAAGCTCAGCACGAATATCGCCCTGGGGTCAACTCGAACTATTTCGATGATGACTCGCCTTTGGCATTGGTTTCGGCAGCTTTTTGGTTTTGTGACCGCCTGTAAAGCTGAAAAGACCCACCAAGAACCCCGAGGCAACCATCCATTGCCATCCCAACTTGACATGAATATTAATTTATGATAATTTCGAAAGCTAAACCCGATTTGTTTTTGTTCCGCTTATTTCTGTTTGCAGTGCCTACAGGTAGCAACGAATGTGACCGAGCAGAAGCACCATGTCACCAGGGAGACTCGAGGCAAGAATTTGGGCCTGTGCCGTGGATTCAGAGGATGCACTGTTTGGCTGACTGGTATGAGAATAAATTTAGCAACATTGTTTCCCATTAAATATATAATTAATTAAGCCGTAATTCTTAGTAACTGAAATTATTATTTTTATAAAAACATTTTGAATGAAAATCATATAATCGCAAATTTATTACATAACGTAATATCTTTCGTTCACAGGCCTCAGTGGCGCTGGAAAAACCTCGATCGCCTTTGAGCTTGAGGCATATCTGGTATCGCGTGGCATTCCCGCCTACGGGCTGGACGGTGACAACATCCGCACCGGACTTAACAAGAACCTGGGATTTACGCCCGCCGACCGCGAGGAGAATATTCGGCGGGTAGGCGAGGTGGCCAAGCTGTTCGCCGACAGCGGAGTAGTGGCCATCTGTAGCTTCGTTTCCCCCTTCGCCGACGATCGTGAGATGGCGCGCAAGATCCACAAGGACGCGGGTCTGAAGTTCTACGAGATATTTGTGGACACTCCGTTGGACGTATGCGAAACGCGCGATGTTAAAGGACTTTACAAAAAGGCACGTGAGGGTGTCATTAAGGGTTTCACTGGCATCACGCAGGAGTACGAGCGACCCCAAATGCCGGAACTAGTGGTCAATACCCACGGCTATACGGTACGCGAGTCCACACAGAAGCTAGTGACGCTGCTTGAGCAGGAAGGCATTATTCCACGATCGCTCCGTGACGTGGACCAATTGCCGGAGCTCTATCCTAGCGAATCCATTGCCACGGAGGCTTTGCGTCATGAGGCCGAGTCTCTACAGGCCATTGAGATCAGCACTGTGGAACTGCAGTGGGTTCAGGTTCTGGCCGAAGGCTGGGCATATCCACTACGCGGATTCATGCGTGAGGACGAATATTTGCAGACGCTACACTTCAATACACTCCAAAGCGGCATGGATGGTTCCTATCGAGAGAACCATTCCGTGCCCATTGTTCTAAGCGCCAGTCAGGCTGACAAGGATCGCTTGGACGGGTCCTCATCGCTGACACTCAAATATCAAGGCAAAGCGGTGGCAATTCTGCGCCGTCCCGAATTCTACTATCACCGCAAGGAGGAGCGGCTAGCCCGGCAGTTTGGAACCACCAATCCAAATCATCCTTACACCAAGCAGGTCTACGAGTCCGGCGATTATCTCGTTGGTGGTGATTTGGCTGTGATCGAGCGAATTCGCTGGGAGGACGGATTAGATCAGTATAGGTTGACCCCCAACGAGCTGAGGCGCCGGTTTAAGGAGCTTAACGCAGACGCCATCTTCGCATTTCAGTTACGCAATCCCATCCACAATGGACATGCCCTTCTCATGCAGGACACTCGTCGTCAGCTGCTAGATCGTGGCTTCAAGCAGCCAGTGCTCTTGCTACATCCTCTGGGTGGTTGGACCAAGGACGATGATGTGCCACTAGATGTGCGCATGAAGCAGCACCAGGCCGTCCTTGACGCTGGTGTTCTGCGACGCGAAGATACTGTTCTAGCTATCTTCCCTTCGCCCATGATGTACGCCGGACCCACGGAGGTTCAGTGGCACGCGAAGGCTCGAATGAACGCGGGTGCCAACTTCTACATCGTGGGGCGTGACCCGGCGGGCATGCCGCATCCAGACAAGGAAGCTTATCCAGATGGCAACTTGTACGATGCCACACACGGAGCCCGGGTGCTGAAAATGGCCCAGGGCCTTGACAGCATGGAGGTAAATTCAACTTAACAAATCTTCTTAGCCGTGTATATATTTTATCTCTTATTTTTATTTTTTAGATTCTTCCATTCCGAGTAGCTGCCTATGACAAAAGCTCCAGTAGAATGGCCTTCTTCGAGCCAAAACGCAAGGATGAATTCGAGTTCATCTCTGGGACAAAGATGCGCACCCTGGCCAAAACCGGAGCTAGTCCGCCGGATGGCTTCATGGAGCCGGAAGCGTGGCGCATCCTATCCACATACTACCAGAACCTACCGCAGGCGTAACCCGCTGCTTATACCCGACCAGCAACGTGCAATTCCTCTTAGTTATAGCTTATGTGCTTATGTTCTTATTCCCCTAATCACTTATCACATATGGAGTCTATCGTTATTAACCCAAATCCGGGCCTGTTCCTGTGTGTGAATGTCTGTACTCCTCCCAATTAAATGTTCGTATCGTACAATCTACTTTTATCTAAACTTAAGTCACCCAATTCTCTGTTTATCTTAAGCAAAATGTCGTGCAGCTATTTTGTGGACTGTTTTTTAAATACATATATAAATAATTATTTACTATCAGAATTTTCTTATTCTACCGAGCTTTTGTGGATCTATTTTTTTATTTCAGTATTTAGAGATCAAAGAACGAAGAGATTCTGAACGGTTTAGTAATTATAAGTAATATGGTCGGCTGAAATAATATAATAGTCGCTGAAGAGATAAGCTCCAAGATTGATCAACTTATAAACATCTTGACTTTAGCAACATGTAGAGTAGTTTCAGTAAAACATGGGGCATAATGAATCGGAAATGTGCTGTATTTGAGTCGTTCTTTGTTTTTTATTAAGATAATTATATTTATATTATATATATTTTCTATATATTTAAAAAAAAAAGTTTAAAGATCATTAAAAGTGGCTTTCAGTTTTTACACATCCACAATGTGTATCTACAGAACTCTAACAGATGTCAACATTGAACAATGACAAAAGCTCCCCGCTATAAAAAAGTCTTAAATAAACCTTCATCAGTAAAAACCAGTTTTCTTTGGTTTTGCACATGATTTATTTTTATAAAATTGTATACGTTTAATCATTAATATTACAAGTAATTAATTAATATCAAATATGCATTTAGTTATCATTTATGTGTTCATAATTGTTTATTGCTATCCCATCGATTTAACTCGATCGACTACCTTTAATTGGTGATCTCGTCTGCAATTCTTCATTAATGATTAATTATTAGATGTAACGGTTTTATTGACAGAGTCGTGTGGTGTGCGGCAAAGAACAAAATAAATAGAGTACAAACTAACCAAATGAAATGTGTGTGAAGATTACGAAGAATAATAATATAATAAGCACCTTCAAACTGTGCGATACTACCACATTTATGATATAAAGTTAGGGGGAAGGGCGATGCGGAGGGCAGGGAGGTGTGTGGGGCGGAATTTGGGAAGTACAATTTGGGTAATTGTGCGTCTGGACATCCTCCATATTCCTAACATAATGGCAAAAGGGTTCGCATATCGATCGAAAGTACACACAAGCAATGAGCAAAACAAGGACAGGTGAACTAATTAATCATATGCATACATAGTACATATATATTTGTTTTACAATTAATAATTTACAAATCGACAACAACCATGGCTGCTAGAGAAAATAATAATTCCGTAAATACTAAAAACCTCTTCGAGAAGGACGCGGGCGGGTTGGATTGGCTGCTCTTCGCTTTACGTTATCGCTGGATCATCTTTTTTTAACTTGAGTTATATACGTATATTTATATATATTATCATGCCTAGGTATATTTCGTACACGCTGTCGTCATATACTTTATTTAATAACTGTTTCATAATGCAATTTGTGTTCTATTCCATTATCGCGCTTATTCGGTTAGGGAGAGCCGGCTGTTGATGGTTAAGGTTGATTTAGATGTAAGTTAATGATCGCTTGTTCGGGGTATCTGATGTATTCGAACCTAACAGGAGTTAAGAAAACTACTACCTCGTAGTTACCACCATAAACTACCAACACGTAGTTGTTGCCACCATGCCGCATCAGTGCCAAGCGAACGTTGCCACGTCAAAGCAGACTGCACCTGGACAACCAACTGTCCTTCGTCCGACTGTCCATCGGTTTCAGTTGATGGCCGCCCTTAGGTGGGTTGTTCGCCTCCTGTATGCACACAAAAGATGTTTAGGGTTTAGCTAATAGTAAAAAAAGCTGCTTTGTCGGGCTTTCCCCCGCAGCACTCACCATCCGCTTTTCCGTTTTCGCTTTGATATCACTGGCTAGGGTGAGGAAAGCTTCTTCCACATTGATGCTGGCTTTTGCGGAGGTCTCCATGAACTTGATGCCATACTCGATAGCCAATTGTTCTCCGCGCTCCTTTGAAACCTATAATAGTGAGAAAATTGTACCTTGTAATTGTAATTTATAAGAGACAGCTAACTATACTTATATGTATGTAACTGTACATATAAGCAGCCTTTCGCAGCTCAAGTTAAATAAAAAGTAATTAAAAATGGGTCCAGTGTTAGTTAGGAAAATAAGACTAATATGCAAAATTCGTCAATTAATCATAATATGGATAAGGAAAATCTGAACTAAAACTTATGAATCATCTTTCAACGTCAATTAGATCCACCAAGTTATAAGCGAAATGTTTACGGATAAGTGCGGAGTTAGCATTGAATTGATAAAGCCACTTGGAAGTCTAAGAATAACCAGTGAAATCATTAATTTCTTTTTGCTATACCTGTCGCTTATCGGTCAATTCACACTTGTTGCCCAGCAGCATTTTCTCAACATCGGCGGAGGCGTTTTCTTCAATATTCCTGATCCAGTTTTTGATGTTCTCGAAAGACTTCTCCTGGGTTATGTCATATACCAGCATGATGCCCATGGCACCTCTGTAATAGGCCGTAGTGATTGTGCGAAAACGCTCCTGGCCGGCAGTGTCCCTGTGCAAATGTTCAAGATATTAATATTAAGATTTCACCGATTTACTGTCTTATCACTCACCATATTTGCAGCTTAATTTTCTTGTTATCTAATTCAATTGTTCTAATTTTAAAATCGATACCTGAAAGAGAAAACAGATGAGCATACATACATACACACACGATAATTAATTTGAATAATTTGGCAAGTGGCTGAACCTGTTTGCTCGGAACCCATGACGTCGCATAAAAAATAAGAGAAACAAAGAGCGGGACAAACCACGCAATTGAATTAAACAATGTCGTTAAGTAAATGTCCCAAAATTGGAAGTGTCGCAAGGAAAACGTGCCAAATACAAAAATAAACAATTATTAGCCACGAGGCATTATGGGAATCGTTCGACTTTTGTGTTTACAACTACAGGAAGTACAAGGTACGAATACATGTCAAGAGCTATAAGAAAATTGCTTTTAAGGAATTACAAGATTTTGTTATTATCATGCTATGATCTTGCTATTATATTTATTATTTTATAATTCAAAAGAATTTGAACTCTGGTATTATTTTATTTATAGTTTTCCAAAAATGTAAGTTGTTTGTTTAATGAAAGTTTTTTTGCAAACAACTCTTGGACTCTTTCCATTACTGGGTATGAGTCTTTAGTTTTAATACTACACCCGATTAGGTGAGTTTATGGACACTCTTCGTATCACAACAATCCTGCTTCTTGGGAGATAAGAGCTGGGAAAGTATAGAGACCCTGGGTGAGTCCGGTATTTATTTCTGCCCACTTCCCCATGCGGGTGTGAATCTAAAGCTTGAGATAGCGAAACACATCCGGATATCAAGTTTTTGGCTGGTTCTCTACGGGGATATCTTTACAAATGCGAGAAATCAAAGATGGGGGTGTTGGAAAGCCCCTCCCTTTAAAGCAACAATAATTATGACAAATGCTTGAAGGGCAGTGAAAAGAAAAAGAGGAGAACGGAGAGCCGTTTTATGAGTCATTGGGTCTGAAGCTTGAATTCTGAATTCCGGATGAGTTCATGCGAACCAAGAAGTCATAATTAATTACAAATTGCTGTCGATGGCAGAGATTCACACTCACCTATTGTGGATATAAACGTCGTGTTGAAGGCGTCCTCGGAGAAACGAAACAGGATACAGGTCTTGCCCACTCCAGAATCACCGATCAGGAGCAGTTTGAACAGATAGTCGTAGGTCTTGGCCATTTTTGCGGTAGGATCACAGTTGTTCGTCACTCAAAGAGCCCCCGATGATGATGGATGAAGGGTTTGGGTAAGGGTTAAGGGTAATACTCTGTACACGTCGCCTCCTTTATCAATTGACTACACAGCACTTCGATTCTTTGCTAATAACACTAATCACAAATATTTCCCCATGCGTGCCGCTGAATATATTTTCCTAGACGTAACCGCACACAATTCGCAATCGTATATTTCTTTTTTCCTCCTCTTCGCAGCTCTTTTCCTTTGGGTGTGTGTGTTGTGTTTTCGATTTCGGAGCCGTGTCAAAAATGGCGACGTAGATTTTAAAGACCTTTTTGTCTGCGCCCGAGTTTCGCTCTTCACGCGGCGACTTTTCCGGTGGGAAAATGTGGAAAGGCGCTAGCTTTGTAGTGCGAGTGTACGTAAGTTTGTTGTGGAAATAACGTGGAAATTAACTTAATTACTGCTTTCTAATTACGCCCGTACAAAAAATATGATTGTTTCGATGTTTCAGTGTTGCTCAACACTGTTGTATTTGCAGTTATCGATAAGCTATTGGTCGATAGGAAAACAGCTGCTTAGAAAAGTGTTGCAAAGTGCCCGCAAGCAGAAAGAAACAGAAGAAAATAGCACAAGACAAGAGCCAAAAAGACAGGTGTATTATATACATAGTCCTGATCCTGCACCTGATCCTTAACCCCAGCAATTTGTTCCGCCCGCGACTGTAAAGTGAAGTTAAACAAATGTGAACAGTGGCGTCGTCAGACGCAGCAGCCGTAGCAGCAGCAGGAGGAGTCATTGCACTTGCACCCCCGCAAACAACAAATTCTGGGCCATGGGCACCAAGGAGTCCAAGCACTCCAATAGCATCAGCTATGAGGATTCAGTGAAGCGCGGTGAGTGTCCACGGGCTCGAAATTTTTGATTGTTATTCCCTGCTGTAGGCATTGGGAAAATGGGTAACTGCTAATCAAGAAAAAGAGAACCCCCGAAAAGCAACAGCAACAACAAAAGCAGGTGCAATCGATTCAATTTGTGTCCAGTGATTATTCCACCTGACCAACACCATCTTCTCTCTCTCTTTCCGTTCCTGGATTTATACAATCTTCTTAGTTTTTGCAATTAATTTTTGCCATTACACTGTGCCTTTCTTTATTTGTGTTTGTGGGTTCTCTGTGTGCATGGGTATTTGCGTCGCCGCCGCCAGTGACGTCACAATAGAAAAGCTCAACGAGGGGGGTGGTTTTGTGGGTGGAAATGAGGGGTTGGGTGATGGGAGATAGCTGGGAGACAACAAAGCAAAGACGCACAGGAAAACAGTTAAAAAGCCAGTGCAATGCAGTCCATACTTAGGGTGACTGAAATGCGCGGATTCGAATGTTTTATTACGGATTTCAAGTTCAGCATGTCATTCCAGTGTTCAATTGAATTCACAAAGGCCTCTTTCACAAACATTTCATACAGAAATGGAAAAATGCAAATATTGACTTTACAAAGTTCTAAAATTAGAAAAACTCTGTTTGTAATTTAATTACTGAGCTTTCAGGCTTCTTTCTTGCACGTCATTCCCTTATTTATTTCGATTTGTAATCAAGTGCATAGCCATTCTGAATAGTATTTTAGAAAGAAATCAGTTTCAAGTGGGTTTGTAGATAGGAAAGGAAACATTTTGGTTTCTAAAAGCAGGCTAATAGGGAAATTACAGTTCTACTTCTTTATCTACACTCCCCAAAATGCTTATGCTTTGTGCATGTCAAATATGATTTTTACATAATTTAGGATTTTAAATAAAGTTCAAAGTCTGATTAATGGTTCCCTGTTTGAAAATGTTTTATAAGAGTACACCCCAATATCAACTGTTAATCGTCCAAAGAGTTGAGATTATTTTACCCAACAGAGGGAACATGTGAGCCAAACTTGTCCACTCCGTCGCCCCATTCTCAATGACGTTTAGCGTTGGCTTTGTATTTGACTAACTTTATTCCACATTCCCTTTTCGCTGGCATTCATCTCACTACTGGTGTTGTTATGGTTATGGGTTGCTGATTTGCGGCCAGGCCAACCAGAGTTAAGAAAACGAATGTCGCTGATAAGACCCTGCCCCGGCACACCTGACCACTTCCCTCTCCACACCCACCATCACAGGTATGAAGCGTGCGACCAGGTGCGTGTGTTTCTTATTAGCCACTCCAGCGACCGGTTCCAATAAAACCAATTCAACTGGAGAGAAATCAAAGAAACGGCGAGAGAAAATAAATGCTGGCATGCAAGTACGGCCAGTCACAAATCTCAGATCCGAGTTGCAGTTGACATTCAATAAAATTCCGCTTCCGTGACGTCGCATTATTCACCCTGCAATATTGCCCAATTAATTGCGGAATGTATTTTCACGCCCCATCTGCCGCTTATCAGTAGCCTGTGTTCTCAACCTGATCGTTGAAATTAAAATGGTTTATTTATTGTCATTTTAATTGCACTTCTTGTGGTTATTTTTTTCCTACATAATTTAATCAGCATTATGAATTGTAAACAACGAGGAGGAATGAATGAAAATTGTTTTATAATGACTTCAGAATTGGTCATAGAATTTTCTCATATAAAGAACATTCCAATGTAGTTAACATTTTAAACTGAAATATTTATTATATGATTAATGATCCTCTCGTTCCCTCTACAGTCGCTTTATGACTTAAATGTGATAGGATTCCTAATCATTGTTTAATGTGTGTTTGTGCCTATAAACATATGGACGTGCACTTGTGATTTCTCGCTGAGTGATTCACAATAACTCGAAAAGTAGCGAAGAATGATGTAGTAGGCTATGCAATACCCACTCTATACTTGCCAATTGTAAAATATGCTACATGCTTTATAGATCGTGTGCCTAGATTTTATTTAAATAAAAAAAAAAACTAAAAATTCTTGGCTTATGTTAATGCAACTTTTGAGCACTGATCATATATATATATCAAATTATATATCGGGTTGGAACAATCTTTTCTCTAACAGTAAGGGGTATAAAAATCAATTACTGATAATGGTCAATTAGGTAACAGCGACACTTAATCCTATAAGTGATGGAATAGATAAATAATTTCTGAAATTATGTTTATTGCTGTTATTAGCGATTACAGCAAGTGTGTGTACTTGATTTATTTTTTGGTTCTTGATTTTTGTCCCAATAATCTGTTCATTATTGACGTCATGTCGGTTGGTGTGAAAACGAGCTCGTAAATCGCATTAAATACGGGGGGCTCCCAAGCACATCGACTATTAATTAGAGGCATTTGGGATAATCCCTACCGCAAACGTTACTCATCCACCAAATTTCGTTCCAGTAAGCGATGTGGAGCTTCGGCGACTGAGGGATGCCTTCAAAAAATCAGCGGGTGTGGGTCGGAATTTCCTCAGTCGGAACGCCTTCCAGCAGGATGTGCTATGCGAGGGTGTGCCGCCGAAGATCACGGATATGCTATATGTCGCATGTGGTGGCACCCAGCGCGGCATATCTTTTAATGATTTGCTCTGCGGTCTTGTCCTGATCACACGGGGCACTCAGGGGGAGAAAACAAAGTGAGTATACCATATTATACAAATTTTAACTATAATTATATCATCTGTTCCATCTAGATTTCTTTGGAACCTCTACTGCAACGATGCCGGCACATTTATTATCAAGTCCGACTATTTGCGCAACGTCAATCTGGCTCCCTTCGAGAGCGTCTCCCTGTTCGCCCAGAGCGAACGCGTCAATTTTGAACAGTTCCAGGACTGGATCATAAAGAATCGCAATGCCACTGTTCTATCCAAATGGTTGCTGTCTGACAACTGTGTCAGTCTCACTTCGGAGCTGGAGACACCAACGTTCTACCAGAGCTTAGCTGGAGTGACTCACCTTGAGGAGAAGGTTAGATTCCGCGAATAATATACCTTTAAGTGTGGTTGATAATATTTAAAAACCACATGCGCTGCTAATCATTTCTTGGAAAATACCCATTTGTTTTTAATCTGTTTTGTTTTCCGTCACTTTAATTAAAGTCGCCTGTCATTTCTGTCCGCTCTTTTGCCAAGTAATTATTAAATTATCAAAATTCTTTTGCAGGACATTGGCGACCTGGAGAAGGAGTTTTGGCGGTTAAAGAACACCTCGCAAAATGGTCAAATCGACCTGCAGTTTCTGGGCCCATTGATCAGCCCACCCATACCAAAGAATGCGCTAGCAGGACTATTTAATGCCTTCGATGAGAACCGCGACGGGCACATCGACTTTAAGGAGTTGTGCTGTGGCGTAAGTGCCGCCTGCCGGGGACCTGGAGTAGAAAGAACACGATGTTAGTACCTAAATACCACCCCATAAACCATTTAATTATTACCCTTATTTACATACAGTTTGTTTTAAAATCTTCGATGTGGATCGAGATGGAGTCCTTAGCCATGACGAGACGTTACAGATGATCAATGTATTGCTGTTGGTAGCCAAAGAGAACCGAGAAGCTCAGCAGTATAAGGAGCTGACCAAACAGGTGGTTATAAGTGATCTCCTCGAGTTTGGCCAACGTAGAAGTCCGGATGGGACGCCCAGCAAACTAACCCGCGACAACGTCTCGCTGACCGCCGAGGACTTTATGCTGTGGAATGTGCAGTGCGACCTGAGACTTATGCAGCCCTTGCTGGATCTAATCTTTGAGCTCTGCCACATAGTTTTTGGTCTGTGGCCGCAGTGCAAGCACATGGAGAACGACATAGTTCGGGGATGGCTGCGACGCGAAGAACGGAGGCCTTACCGCGTCGGACAGTTCTGGTACTTAATCACACGCGACTGGTGGTTAGGATGGATGCAATACACCCAGCATACGGCTCACACCTGCGACTATTGCAAGCGCACCGCCAGCCAACGGACCGCTGTCGATGAAGCGCTAGTCTGCGATGAGAGCTTCAATACCCACAGTCTGGAACAGCACGACAGCTACTCACTTGGTTCTGGCACGGGATCGGCATCGGGTTCCGGGTCGGCGAGCAGTGGGTTCTCAGCTGGACGGCATTGTGGACCAGTGCGACCAGGACCCATCGACAACAGCAATCTGATCACAGCAAATCCGTTTAGGAATGTACGTACCCTCACCGGCGAAGGTGGTCACCTCAAGCGGGACACCCCACTAGTGCAGAGTCACGACTTCGAACTGGTTCCCAAGTCCCTGTGGAAGGCCCTGAATCGATGGTATGGCGACAACCTGCCACTACCCCGACAAGTAAGAATTTTATTTCTTGATTTTAAAAAAGTTTCTAAGCCTTATTACTTCAAATGCTGATCCAATTATTACATTAATACTCTCCAGGTCATTCAACCACCCAACTCAGATGTGGAACTTGAGCTATACCCGCTTAACCTCAGAATCCTGCTCCATCAGGCGCAGCCATCGCAGACAGGCGTTGGTGGAGGCACTCAACTCGGCAGCTGGGGCTCTACGGTTAGTGGTGGCTATGGGGTCTTGGCCTCCGGAGGTGGGTATGCAGCCATTGCAGCCAGCAGTGTGCTTCAACCGCCGAAGCGATACCTGGCATACACGGCTGCCTTTAGCCGACTGGCCACGGTTCGACAAGTCGGCGAGTTCCTGTGCGAACAGTTACGTCTCAAATCGGAAGACATCCGGCTGTGGCATGTTCCGCAGGTGGACAACGGTGCCATATTGCTAGAGGAGGATGCCATGTGCCTGAAGGAGCTACTCATCCGGGACAATGACCAGCTACTGCTGGAAATCCGCAACAAAGATTTGACCTGGCCGGAGGAACTTGGTTCTTTGGCCAGCGCTCAGAGCGGCCAGGGGATGGGAACACCTGGTGACCGGCGACGACTAACCCGCAGCTCAATTATGTCAGTGCACGCACCGGGAGCAACTGGGTTGCATAATCTGGGCAACACTTGCTTCATGAACGCCGCGCTCCAAGTGCTGTTCAATACCCAACCTCTGGCCCAATATTTCCAGCGCGAAATGCATCGCTTTGAAGTGAATGCGGCCAACAAACTAGGCACGAGGGGCCAGCTGGCAATGCGCTATGCGGAGCTGCTCAAAGAAGTTTGGACGGCAACAACGCGATCAGTGGCACCGCTCAAGCTACGGTTTTGCGTCAACAAGCATGCGCCACAGTTTGCTGGTGGTGGTCAGCACGACTCCCAGGAACTGCTTGAGTGGCTGCTTGATGCACTGCATGAGGATCTAAATCGCGTAATGGAAAAGCCGTACAGTGAGTTGAAGGATTCCAATGGGCGGCCGGACAAAATTGTAGCTGCCGAGGCTTGGTCACAGCACCATGCCCGTAACCAGTCCATCATCATCGATCTGTTCTACGGCCAGCTGAAGTCCAAGGTCAGCTGTCTGGGATGTGGACATGAGTCAGTGCGCTTCGATCCTTTCAGTCTGCTTAGCTTGCCATTACCAGTAGAGAACTACGTCTATTTGGAGGTCTTGGGTGAGTAATTTATTGTAGAGACTATTGGTAGCTCAAAAACCTTAAGCATCTACATAGCTAAAATTATGTATCTGATTGGTATTATAAGAATTCCTTCTTCTTCCTTAGTAATTCTGTTGGATGGAAGCGTGCCTATTAAATATGGTTTCCGCCTGAACTCGGAATGCAAGTACTCGCATCTGAAACATAAGTTAGCCACACTTTGCTCCCTGCAGCCAAATCTAATGCTTGTCTGTGAGTTGTGGAACTCACAAATTCGGCAAGTGCTATCTGATGAAGAGAAACTTAGGACGCAGAGTGCCAAGGAGTTGTACGTCTACCAGCTGCCCGAACAAAGCGTGCGGACACGTTCCAATTCAGTGCTCAGCATGCACATAGAGCAGGGTCTTAAGGATATACAGCGTAGTTCTGGTAAGTCTCTTGATGTTTATAAAGGTTAATATTTTATTTTTTAAACACATTTATTCGCTTTTAGCTCTTATAACGAGCGCCCAGGACTCGCTATCTTCGCTAAGCACTCTGCAGACCTCTAGCCAGCGCGCCTCGTCTCGAGTTCTTTGTAATGGCCATGTCTCTGGCCTGGAGGTTGAAGCTGAGGCAGAGGTGGAGGCGGATACTCATCACTATAACAACAACAACAGCAATAATTACAATCCAATTACTAGCACTTTCAGCGGAAATGGAAGCGGAGATAACCAAGTGCACGAACTGCTGCCAGATGAGGCCGGAAAGGTAAGCCGGTGCTTTGGAAAGAGAGAGTGCATGCCCCACAGCCTTTTCTGCTTCAAGGTATGGCTTCTAAACTATATTAACATACACGTATTTAATATCATAGATTTACGCCCCAGTTCAATTATGGGGCCAATCGAATTCTAAAATTCAGAGCTTCAGAACTTCCCTTGCCTAGGATAGCGAACTTGCTCCTCAGCGGCCAATGTGCTGCAATGACAATATCGTCGGGTAATCTTCGATTGCGAATGCGAAACCAGAATCCGCTTAAGATTCCGCCTCTGTCTGTTTTCCGAGTGTCACTTTACAAGCGTTTAATCTAAATATATTAAATACCACTATGTTAAATGAACAGTTGCCGTCTGCTGCGTGGTTTGTGGGCTTCCCTCTTAACTACTCAAAACTACTAGCATACTCTGTATATTCTCCCTACTTTCGTATTCGCACACTGTTATCAAATTGATATCAATTATTTGTAATCTATACATATATCTTTCTACTAATCATTTAATTTGTTGCTGGCCTTTATCTCTAACTAATGTAAATTTTTTGCTTAAAAATCAAAACAAACATTTCAAATCACCTCTTTGCTATCCTTGAGTCTTTGTTGTTGTTGGTTATCAAGTTGGAAGTTTGTGAATTATAATTTCTTTTGTAGTTCTTAGTAATTCTCATAGCTTTGCAATTCCACTCACTATTAAGGGCGGATTCATGTTGACCATATCATGTGTTTGTTTTTTAAAAAGTTCGGAATATCCAAAACAAATATTCTTAGTTAGATGAAGAAAGTATTTTTGATATATAATATTTCTGGATCAAATTTAATAAGAATTATTTTTGTAATTTATGTAGAACAATCTTAAAAATGTTTAGAATTTTAAACATAATATGTTTCTGTGTTATACTTTTGTATAATATCATAACTCAAGTCCAAATGAGGGCCAAAACTATTATTTTAAATCAAATTCCAAATGGTATTTAAAAAACCCAACTTCATTTAAAATCTGTATAAAAACTAATTCACTTTTATTTGATTTAACTAAAGTTTCACTTTCCACCGAACCCACGGAATAACCTAAATCAACCAAAAGTTAATTTTAAAAACACCTTCCATAAACAATTTGTAAATTTATACGTAGATTTTGAATTTAAGCGTTTACCCTATAGACATTTTGTAAATTTACGAGTAGATTGATCCTTGGTTAATTGAGTTCCTAAAGCTTTAAAACACGACTACACCTACCACACCCTTTAAGAACTAACTCCAAACCCAGCACATCCAAGTCTAATACCAACTCTCGGTGTAGGAGTCGCTCATCCTGAGCTCCAGCCCGGAAAATACTTTTATGCACGGTGCGGCCGCCCAACAGAAGCGTGTGTCCTCCGCCAAATTGCTGCACACGGAGAGCAACACCAGCTCCATGTCCTATACGAATCATTCAGGCGAGAACTCCATGGAGAGCTCGCTGACGGAACCCATTCCAATGGCGGACCTGGCGCCGGTGAGTAGCCGCCATGGAAGCGGCAGTGATGACAGCTCATTTCGGACGTCACCCAACGATTCCAGTGGCCTGAGCACGGGACACACACTAGGTGCTAGTTTAGATGTGGACGAACAAGCGGAAGAGGGTAATGAAGAAGAGCATGATCAGCCGGATCAGATCACCACATCGCAGCCGGAGACTAGCAGTGGCGTTTATTCGCGCCGCTCTTCACAGCCGCCGCACAAGGCGGGAAAGTATCTGGTGGCAGTGCATCGAAAAATAACACGGCATGACAGCTACTTTCTTTCCTACCACAAGACGCGACCAAGTCTCTTTGGAGTCCCCCTTCTTATTCCGAACAGTGAGGGTGGCACCCATAAGGATCTTTACTGCGCCGTGTGGCTGCAGGTGAGCAGATTACTCAGCCCACTGCCTGCCACCACGGAACAGGCAAATCATGCCGCCGATTGGTAACTAAATTTGCAGCTATTTGTTACTTCTACAAACTGATTGTCTAACTTTTTCACAGTGATGACAGCCTGGGTTACGATTTTCCCTTCACGTTGCGTGCTGTCAAGGCAGACGGACTAACGTGCGCTATCTGCCCCTGGTCGAGCTTCTGTCGCGGATGCGAGATCCGCTGCAACAATGACTATGTACTGCAGGGAGCATTACCGCCCATTAATGTCGTGGCCAGTAAGTGGAGAATTCGTAAGCTACTAAACAGGGCACCCAAAACAAAAAATATACTTTTTCCAGGTAATACGTCGACGCCAAAAATGAACGCTAAATTCCCATCGCTACCAAATCTAGAGGCTAAACGGACGCCAGAGTATACCGCCTCGTTGTCGTACACACCGACAACAAAATATTTTGAAGACTTTACCATTGCCATCGACTGGGATCCGACCGCCCTGCATTTGCGCTACCAAAGCACATTGGAACGCGTATGTAAAATCCTTATAAATTTATCTCCGAAGCACTTATATTTTATTTATTTTAGCTATGGGTGGATCACGAAACCATTGCCATAAGTCGGCGGGAGCAAGTAGAACCCGTTGACCTTAATCATTGCCTGCGCGCTTTCACCTCCGAGGAGAAACTTGAGCAGTGGTATCACTGTAGCCATTGCAAGGGCAAGAAACCCGCCACAAAGAAGCTCCAAATCTGGAAACTGCCTCCGATATTGGTGAGCCAAAAATTCTCAATGAAAAATAAAGGCCATAGTTAATATTAATTTCTTTCTTGTAGATTGTCCACTTGAAGCGATTTAACTGCGTCAACGGCAAGTGGGTAAAGTCTCAGAAAGTGGTTCACTTCCCCTTTGATGACTTCGACCCTACCCCGTATCTGGCCTCAGTGCCTCAGGAGACGATACTGCGGCATAAGGAGCTACTGGAAATGAAGAAGGATGCTGATTTGCCAATGCCAAGCAACGAAGTTGTTAGCGAGTTGGACGAGATTGAAGCACCCAACAAGCAGGATACGGATGAAACTTCAAAGCAAACGGGAACAACTCCGGCGACCGCGTCACCATCGCATGCCGGAAATATCCTGCGGCAGAGCAAGACCATCAATGCTGCCCGGCGACAACGTCTTATCTCGACGAGTCTCACCAAAACGCCCATCGTGGATGGCGAGTTCGAGGACTATCATCAGCACCGACTTAAACCTGAGGTGGATGAGTTTGATCCTAGATACAAACTCTACGCTGTTGTGGTAGGCGTAGCCTGTAACTCTTTGTTTACTGGATAAGTGATAATATTCCTTGTTTTACAGTCTCACTCGGGTATGCTGAACGGTGGTCACTACATTTCCTATGCATCAAATGCAACTGGTTCCTGGTATTGCTACAACGACAGCTCCTGCCGTGAAATTTCACAGAAGCCGGTCATCGACCCGAGTGCTGCATATCTGCTGTTCTACGAACGCAAAGGCCTAGACTACGAACCGTATCTTCCCAACATCGAGGGCCGGACGTTGCCGAATGCGGGCAATGTGCCACTTGAGGTGGACGAAACCGAGGGAGAGTTGAAGAAGCTGTGCTCAATTTCCTAACTGATGTCCACTTCCTGGTACCAGTGGTCATCATGGCTATGAAGAATATATTTTTCATCCTCCCTGTTTTGTTCTGTATAGATTGTATTGTTTCGCACCGCGTATGTTTTGTTATTTACTATTTTAGTTGCTTAGCGTCTAGTTAGTTTTAAACATACTTATTTTTTCTTTACCAAGAATTGTTTAACTGCATGTAATATATATATATATATTCAAGTTTAGCTTTGTAAGTAATATGTTAAATTGGTTGGCCAATGTGAAGTTTTGTTTGTTATGTCGAACAAATCCCTTCTCAATATTTTCTTGTTGCTTTGTTTTTGTTGTATATAATTTTAAAATTATATTTGTATTAGGCCAAGAGTGCCAGGTTATTAGCTTATTATTCTTAATTATGCCAGACCATGTCGGGAAATTCCATTTATTTTGTAATTATTATTGTAAATAACAAGCGGAAGTGAAACCCGAACGGCGAAACGTTGTAGACAGTTTGATATTAATCATTGATCAGCAATATCAAGATGTTACGAATTTCATCCCAAGAACTCGCAGACTATTGTTGCTCTACTCATACGTATTTACATGTATTGATTGGCTTTGTGTGACGCACCGAGCGGATTCGGTTCAAAATTAGTATTGCGCTTATCAAATATGACTTCAATATGTCTAATGATTATGTATTTGATATTTACAAATTATATATATATATATACACCCACAGATATATATATATATCTATATATATATACAAAACTTAATTAATTTATATTAATATACATGAACATGATGATATATTCGAAACGAAAAGCTATGAATAAAATAACTTTTATCGCTTGAAACTAATCGCATTTTTGATGAAACTAAAATGGTATAAACCGTCAGAAAAATGAATCTTGTTCCACGACCAACCCAAGTAAATAAGTCTTGACAGAGGCCATTCTTTGCAATGGAATTCAATACATTTATATTTTGTATCTAGATTATGTAATCACATAGTAAAGAAGTAAATAAGAACTATACTTGTCGTATGTGAATTGGCCGCGAGTCGTGTTCCGCTGAGATCCGCCCCAGGAGCAGAATCCGAAGCCTGGAAGCACCGAACATGCCATTCGCCAAGTGTCAAACGTTTTTTTTTTTATTAATTATTTGTGTGAACGCGACGTTATAGGGATTTCATTGCAAATGATTATGATAAATATAAGTTTTGGGTGTGCGGGGTGTGTTATCGTGTAGAAATTTAAATTCTTAGCTTGATTAAAGTATATTTGCATGGAATACGAATGCTCTTAACATAGATATTGAGGAGATACCTAGACGCCGGAATTATTCGATAGCTGGCCGGGCACCGAGAACTGTGGCCGGAAGTTGGCAAAGTTGCCGGCCGGTCCGCTGGTGAATGCGGGCAATGTTGTGCCCTGGAATCCAGCCGGAAATTGTGCCATCAATTGAGCTAAAAAAAAAAAAATTATAAGTATCAAAATAATAAAAACGTTAAGGCATAACAAAACTCACCTGCATTCGAGGCATTACCGGCGGTGGCCGCCAGGCGGGAGAGAATCGATCGCTCGGACATCTGGAGCCGTTGGGCCACCGGTGGAATGCGGGCCAGGGTGGCTGGCAGACGGGAAACATCGCTCTTCATGTCCGAGAGAAGCTCTTCGAGCTGATTGAGCACCTTGTGCAGGACAGCATTAGCTGGCTTGTTGCCCGCCAGCGATTCCTTGCTGAGATGCTGATGGGATTCGGCCAGGCATTCGACCTCAGCGAAACGGGCATTCAGCGACATTGCTGGATGGCTAGGATCTTGGGCGAGATTAAGATAGGCAGCACGTCGAAGTTGCTCCTCAATGACCAGTGCTTGTTCCAGCAGCTTGAAGCGCCGGGCCAAGAACTTGTTTTTGATTTCCAGGAAGTTGCCCTTGCCAACGTCCATCTTAAATGGTTCGTTGATGATTGCGAAACGGATATCGTTCTGGATGTCCTGCCAGCGTCCATAGCCGTGGGTCACGATTCCGGCCAACAGCCAGTAGTCGTGGCGACGGTGCCAGATCTCGTATTCCCTGCCAGGAACCGCAGCCTTCTCCTCGTTCAGCCACAAAGTGTGGAGTTCAGTGAATCCGCCGTCGGCGATGTTGAACATAAATTTGCGTTTCAGCACTTCCAAACTATCCTCCACTCCCTTGCCAGTGGCTCCAGTTGCAGCGGCAGCAGCAGCAGCGGCGGCAGCGGCTGCCTTGTGATCCTTTGGTGAACTGGCACTTGGCTTCTCTAGCTCACCATCTTCCTTGACGATCATCACATCGTCATCATCGTCGTCAATCACGGTTGGTGGTATTGGCTTCTTATCCTCAACCTTCTCCTTTTCCTTCTCTTCCGACTTAGGCTCTTCCTTAAGCTCTGGGTCCTTGGCCTCTTCCTTCGGCTCTGTCTTGGCTAACTCGGTTTTGACGTCCGCTTCGTTTGGCTTTGCATCACCGGAGGCTTCTTCCGCAGGATGCTCCTGCTTGACATCCCCTGGCTTCTTGTCTTCCTCAGCCTCTTGTTCTTGCTTCACCTCGCTCTTTTCGGACGAGGTCTTTTCCTTCTCCTTTTCGGAGTCCTTGTCCTTGTCTTCGCCCTTCTCCGATGCTGGCGCCGGGCTAGGTGCCGCACTGGTAGCTGGAGTTGCACTGTTGCTGGTAGTAGCGCTCTTGTCCACATTGCCACCGGCTGGCGGAGCTTCCAATGCTGCCACATCCTGCTTCAGGGCTGATCGTACCGGTTCGCAAGGCTTGAGGATCAGTTCCGGCATGCTGTAGTACCCGTTAATATGCTCGAACTCCTGCACCTTCTTGCGAATAAGCGACATTACACCGATCCGGGTGAGCACATGCTGACGGGAAAGTCCCTCGCGGGGCACACCATCAGCAAAAGTCTCCGCATTGTCCGCTCCTGGCTCACAGAGATGCCGCATAAACAGCGAAACATACGCCTTAAAGTTGCGCTCAGATTTCCCACGCAAGTCGCGGACTAACCACTGCGAATTGAAAGCATCCTGCGGAGGCATTCCGTACCGCATGATGGCATTGAGGAAGCTCTTGCGTTGACGGGCATTGAAGCCAAGCACCTCGATGTTTCCACCGACGCGGGCAAGCAGTGGAGGCAGTGGGCGATCATCGCGTCGTTCCAATCGCCGCTTGGCCTTCCGTTCGCCGCCATTCTGGTCATCGAAGTCATCGTCGCCGCCATCCTCATCGGAGCCTGCCGAATACTCAGAGTTATATTCGCTGCCATTGTCCTGCCAGTTAGAATCATCACGCGTGGTATCCGCAGCCACGACTCCGCCGTCCGTATAGTTGACTTGTTTGCGAACTCGCTTTCCTTTGCCCAAGCTTCGACCCACATCTTCTTGGTGCTGTTCATAGTGATGGCGCAGAAGCTTCACCCAGTAAGCCGGATCAGAGTTCTCTGCATCCTGTTTGATAATCTCCGTTTCCTCTTCTTCCTCCTCTTCTTTGGTGGCATACGAAGCCACCTTAAACGAGGAAAGATATTCGTTAGCCCAAGATTCCTTCTCCTCAATGCCACGATTAGTTCGGTCCAATAGCTCGGCCACCGCCTTGTCGTCGTAGTGGATAGCCTCCTCCTTGTCGTCTTCCTTGAACAGATCTTCGGTACCAAAGCGAAGGATATCGTCCAGCTCTTGCTTAGTAAAGTTGGCACCTTTACCGCCCATACCCGGGCGTACCACAAGATGTGTCAACATCATCTTGCGCTTGGCCACTTGCGTAACACGTTCCTCCACGGAATTCCTAGTGACAAATCGATAGATCATGACCTTATTCGCCTGTCCGATACGATGGGCTCGGGAGAAGGCTTGAATATCGTTGTGCGGATTCCAATCGGAATCGTAAATGATGACAGTGTCGGCCGTGGCCAAATTGATACCCAATCCTCCAGCACGAGTACTCAGCAGGAAGACAAACTGCTGGGCTCCAGGGGCATTGAATCTATCAATGGCCTCCTGACGCAACGTGCCTGTGATTCCTCCGTCAATACGTTCATACTTGTACTGCTCGCCCTCGAGGAAATCCTCGAGAATGTCCAACATCTTGGTCATCTGTGAGAAAATCAATACACGATGATTTTGCGATTTCAACTGCTTTAGCATCTTGGAGAGCAGAACCAGTTTGCCAGCGGCCTTGGTCAGCGAATTGATCTCGTAGAGACCACCGGCAGCTGTAGTTGCCTCTTCGGCGGCCGAGGGGAAGAGATACGGATGGTTGCAGCACTTCTTCAGATCCATCATTATGTTGATCAGTGAACAGGAGCCACCGCCGCTCTTCGAATTCAAAGCCTCGTAGTTCTTGGTCAAGATGAACTTGTAGAACTTTTTCTGCATGGCCGACAGCTCGACGCGCACAATGAACTCCGACTTGGAGGGCATGTTCTTCAACACATCTGTCTTCAAACGACGCAGCATGTGCGGTCCAAGCATCTCGTGCAGACGCTTAACCTGCTCTTCCTTCGAAACATCAGCGAATTCGCCTTGGAAGGCCTGCAGATCATTGAACTTATCGCGACTCAAGAAATTGAGCAGATGGAACAACTCCTCGAGATTGTTCTGCAGCGGTGTGCCGGTAAGCAGAAGCTTGTAGGCAATGTTATAGCTGTTCAAGATTCGGAAGAACTTGCTCTGGTTACTCTTCAGACGATGGGCTTCATCCACCACTAGCACGGCCCAATCGATACTGCCCAGACAAGCGGCATCCATTGAGATCAACTCGTAGCTAGTCAGCAACACATTAAACTTATACTGGGTTGTTCGCAAACGCGAAACTTTGCTACCACGGATGGCTCCCTCCTCGAAGCTCAACTCGTTCTCCCGTATAACAGCTCTCGAGTCCTTGTCACCGATATACGTAATGCAGTAAAAGTCCGGAGCCCAGAGCTCAAACTCACGTTCCCAGTTCACAAGCGTGGATAGTGGCACGGCCACAAGGAAGGGTCCGCGGCAATGACCCTCCTTGTACAGAGAGTACAAGAACGTGACGGTCTGAATGGTTTTACCCAGACCCATCTCGTCGGCCAGGATGGTGTCGATGCCCTGGCCCCAGCTGTAGCGCAACCAGTTGATACCCTCGATCTGGTAGGGATGCAATTGCATTCCAGTGCCCTCCAAGAATGCAGGCTGATCCTCGTACTTCTTTTTCAAATCAGTGGTTGGTTTTTCTGGCGGCGGTGTATAGTGCTTAACCGGGCGATCCTCGTCGTCCTCCACCTTAAGCTTGGACTTGCGACCCTTCTTGCTCTTCTTGCTGCGGGACTGCGTGGTCTCTGAGGTGCATACCGCACGCAGATCCTGGTAGTAATCGATGGCTTGTCGTAGACCCTGAATATCATCACCCTCTTCCTCCCAGGTAGACTTATCGTAGGGCAACTCTCGCCACTTCACCAGATACATGGTGCTGCCATCCCGCGCCGTACGATGGTTAATTACACGCTGGACGATAAGCCATTCCGGCTTCACGCCGTTCTTGTAGAATCGCTCCTCCAACAGCTCAGTGTCATCATCAGCCTTCATGCCAACCTTGTCCTTATGCCTCTGAATACGCTTGAAACGGGTGTCAGCCTCATCCAGGGACTCTTCAAACTTGGGCGGCTCCTCCATATCGTACTTGCGTTGGAACGAACGGATCATCAGGGGATGGTGAACGTCTAGTTGCACCTCCGGTACCCATTCGCAGTGCCAGTAGGACATATTGTGCCACTTGATGAAGTACTCGCGCACCCGCGAGTTACTACTCTTCGATCCCTTTGAGGTGGAGGGTCCATCCTCATTGCCACGCACTGCCCATCGCCAGGTGATGATCTTCTCGGCCTTACCAGTGAGTGGAGGGCAACTGCAGCGAGGACAACGCCAGTCGCCATCGGGTATGGTGTCTAGTGGCGGATTCAAACAGAACGTATGGTAGGCAGAGGGGCAGGAGTCACAGCATAGCAGCTCGCCGCCATCCTTGCACACCCGACAGAATTCCTGGTGCTCATCATCGTCCTCTTCCTCGGCAGCACCTCCATCCGCTTCGCAATGTGGACACGACCACTTGCCCTCTGGCGGCTCATCCAACTCGGGCTCCAAGCAAACCAAATGATATGCCCGCGGGCAGGTGTCACAGAGAATGATCTCGCCTCCTTGCTGGCACACCTCGCAATAATCCTGGTGCTCATGTTCACCATCCTCGCCCTCTGGGAAATTCTTGGTCTTCTTGAGTTTGTTCTTCTTCTTGAACTTATTGCCAATCTTGGTCTTAGCCTTCTTGCGCACAACTGGAGCGCCATCATCCTGTACGGCGGGTGCCGAGGTGTCTGCCTTGGTGGAAGCAGGAGCCTCCTTCTCATCGGCACTGTCATCCGATTTCTGAAGCATGCGTTCAAACTCGAGATCAGAGTCGCGTTCGGATGCACCGCTTGCATCTTGTTCTTCGTCGGAACTGTCGCGCTTGCGCTTACCCAGCAGCTTGATTTTCAAGGTGGGAACCTTGCCAGAGGGACGACGTCCCTTCTTGCCACGCCCGCTACGCTTGCGCCTTGGCTTTTTCTCCTCCTCCTCCTCTTCTTCCTCCTCCTCAACAGCCTCCTCATAAATATCGTCCGGTTTTTCGTTGCGAGAAGAGCGCGATGACCGCGGTTCCTCTGGCTCATCGCCGGCTACACTGCGTGCCTGTCCGGCGGAAGTGCCGGAACCGGCAGCGCCGCCCTCCTGCTGGATGTGCGGATTGCTTTCGCAGAATTCACGCCACTTGGCCGCCACCAGCATCATTAGCTTCGGTGCCGCAATCTTGGGATTCTCTTTATGTAGAATGGGACGCACATGCTGCATGAATGCCTTGTAGGTGGTTAGGCTCTGCAGCTCCTCCTCACTGTACTCGATCTCAACATCGCAAACGCTGAATGCAGCACATACATCTTCCACGGATGGCATTCCTGAAATAATATGAAAAACCGTATGAGCAACTTCTTTTTTAAAAAAAAAAGTACTTTTCCTCTTACCGGATGATGCTGACTCCTTCTCCTTGGCAGCCTGCTTTTCCTCCTTACGCTTCCGTCCGCGTTTCGAGGTGCTAGGGTACTCCACTTCTTCATCGTGCTGGACAAAGTCGCTGTCCTCCTCGCTCTCGTTCTTCTTGCGCTTCTTCTTCTTGCGACCCTTCTCCTCGCCCTTCCTGGTCTTTCGCTTCTTACCCTTCTTTTTCTTGCGATTATCCTCCGGATCGTAGTCATCGTCCTCGTCATTCTATTAGGTTAAATTAGGTTTTTAGTTTATTACTATGGTTATACTGGGGTAGAGATCAACTTACATTCGGCTTTAGAGGCGCATCGGAATCGTTGGACAGCTCCGCAGCTGGTGCATTGTCCTCCTGGGCCTCTTCTTCTTCTAAAGAGAAAGGTCATAGAATAAAGAAATACTAACGATTAGAGAAATTCTAAGAATGTAGATCGCTGTACTAAGCGACCTTGATTTACCGTGAGTCATGTTCAAGGAGCTGCAATCTCGATCTCAGGGGTAAGGTCAAAACGAGGGAGAAATGAAAACCAAAATAATACCCAAAGCAAATGTTTTTTTTTTTCGATTCAATATTTTATTTGATTCTATTTTTTTCTTTTTTTGTCAAGTTTTCTTTTCTCTTTCTTCTTTTGTTGTTTGTGGTCTTAATAATTACTAGTATATAACAATATCTCTTTTTTTGTAAGATTTTTCATTCTGCTGGTCTTGTCAGCGGTTTTGCTCTTAGATTTACAATAATAATAATAATATTTTTCTCATGTCTCTTGATCTGGTTTACTCTTCTTCTTTTCTCGGCTTACACAATCATTAATCGTTAATAAGTTCCTTTTCAATTGCTGTGTTAGTTCATGTGTGTGTGTAGTATGTGTGTATGTCTATGTTTGGTGTGTGTGTGTGTGTGTGTCATATGTGGTTTATTTATGTATGAGGGCGTGGCATTTATATAAAACTAGTAAGTTTCTTTTGTTGCTTATCAAATGTCAATGTTGTATATATATATATATATATATATATATATATTTTATGTATATATAGTTAGTGTTTGTTTTTTGTTGTATATAAATTGTATATATGATTTTGTTGTAATTGCTACGAATCGATTTTAAACGCTTGATTTTTTGCAACTTGATCTCAATGTTTCATTTGATTTTCCCTTTCGTTTGGTTTTCATCCCCTACTACTTAAATATCATATATAAAAAATATTGCAACGAAATAGCTAAAATTTCATGGTTTTTTATTCAATTTCGTGTTAGTTCTTAACCTTCTTCTTTGTTTCGTTTACTTTTGCTTTTGTTTCGTTCCGTCTTCTTCCTATCTTCATTTTGGACACTAGAGTTTCAGCAAATAATTTGATAATTTTTAAGCGACTTTATGTTTTTTTATTTATCCTTCATCTTTCCTCTCTCACTTTAGCTTGCATTTCTTGTTGTAGTTTATTTATTATTATTTTACTTAAGGAAGCTTTCGTAACATGCTTAGAGTTGTCCTAAAACTAAAAGCAAACAACTTAAGGGGTCGCCATAGCTGTGATACAACCATTAAGTATATCATTTCTATTAGTCCTCTCATAGTTTTGAGCAATAACTAGTCCAAAGCCGCAAATAATATAATATGTATATATGTAAAGTATCTCTGTCTTCGGTCAGTATGAAAGATGTCCCTATATATTCGTTTAGTTTTCGATATAGTTGAAAAAATTGGAAAGGTACGATACGGTACGGTACGGTTATGGTACTCTGCTACTGTTGGCTATATAAAAAAAATAAAAGCTACGTACGCGAAACAAAAACCTGTGTATAATTAAAAACACAAAAATATATAACAAATTAACTAGTTATCGATAAAACAGAAGAATTTTTTTTCTACACAAGCCGTTTAAAAGTTCAGTCTATTGTTTAGAGGCACGCCCGCATGCAACACCACCAAAGGGAAATATAATTTACACACATTATTGCACATTTAATGGGGGTTGGTCAGACCAAAAGAGGTTTTGGGGTGGTTGTAAACGATGCAGCAGCGGTAGCAAGTTCAAGAAGCCGCCTCATCGCTTATAATCAACTTAAAGAAACTTTTAAAAATGCAGTTATAAAATAAAGTTTGTAGATCCAATACTTATATTGTAATTGCAGTTGATAAACTATTTGATGTCTAGAATTTTTGATAATATTTAAATGGACCTTCCCCAAGAACATGCAATTGATATTTTAGTTTGTTTCTGTGGTGCTCTCTCTCTCTTTCTCTCAGTGTGTCCGTCCTGTTTGTCGGTTACGGTTTTCAGTTGTGGTCATCGTAGGCCTAGGCAAACATTGGCTCAATATCAGTTAACTCTACTCGCACCCATTCCCGATCCCAAACCCAAATCCCACTACTTTATATCCTGGATCTAGGATCTTGGGCACGTGCAGTCGGCAGCAGCGAGGACACTTTGTGCTGGCCCACTCGCTCGCTATATATCTCTCTCTCTCAAATCTCTCTCTTTCTATACACAAATCTAAAACAAAAGCTATGCCCAAAAAATGCAAAAAATTTGTCGATGAGTGTACTGCGTAGTGTAGTGTAGTGTGTGTGTGATACTTTTTTTTGTGTGTGGATTTTTGCTGTGTGAGGTGTGTGAGTGTTTGCCGTTTGTAACAAATGTTAAACAAAAATCAAGAATAAAAATAAGAAGAGTCTAGATTAAAAACGAAAAACATACACGCTATATTTAAAAGTTGATAATAATAATATAATAATAATAATAATTATTACACAAAAAACGCAAGGAAAAACATGTGTTTTCGTTTTCGTTTTCATTTAGTTACTTAAGCTGCTCAATATGCTCAACAAAAAATTAAGTCTACAACTCGTATATAATTTTTTTTTTGCTTTCGCCGTTTTTTTAAAAATATTGATTTTGTTTCCTCCTCAACTCGTCTTCTTCTGGCTTGTTGTTATGCATATAGTTCATATATGTATGTATTATATGTATATTATATATGTAGAAATCGGTGGCAGCAGAACTGGCCCGCCGCCACCATCGTTTTTTAATGTAATAAAAATTATTTTACGCGAAAGTTTGTATTTTTTGTTTAGTTGTTTGTTAACATAATTTCAACATTTTTTTGAAGGTTTTTTCTTTGCTTGTAGTACAATTTCTTTTAGAACGTTTTTGTTGGTGTTTTTTTTTTATCAGTTTTTCATTGTTGATTTGTTTGTTGGTTTTGTGTTTTTTTTTTTTTTTTTTTGTTTTTACTATAATAGTTTGTAGTATTTATAATAGTTTCTTGCTTGTTTTGCCTTTTTACATGGGGGATCAGCGGATGGTCATCGAAGTAGTCCCAGCAGGATCAGTAGCGTGCCTCATCGTCATCGGTATTGGAGTTGGAGTTGGAATCATCGCAATCCTCGTCATCATCATCATTGGAGTCCGAGCTGTCCGAACTGTCATCCGAATCACTCACATTCTGCTGTTGATGTTGCTCTTGCGGATTTTGCTGCTGTTGTAGATGTTGCTGTTGTAAGTGATGCTGCTGCTGATGTTGATGTTGATGGTGCTGCTGTTGTTGCTGCTGCTGATGCTGCTGCTGGGGATGGTGTCGTTGCTTTTGTTGCCTCTGTTCTATCGTCTCAACGGCGTGATGTTGCCTCCTTTGCTGCTCGGCTAACCTGGCCGCGGCCTCAACCACAGCTGGATCTGGACCTGGAGGTGCAACCGCTTCCGTCGAAGGCGCCACCGCCGTTGTCGTACTCATCAAAGTCTTGTCATAATCCATCACCAGCTGCTTGATATGCGCCAGCTTAGCATGCAGGTAATCAAACCGCTGCTTGTTCTCCCTAATCGTGCGATCGTTATTGATCCTTTCATACTCACACACAATCTGCCGCTTGATGTGATCGTAGTCTCCATATCCGGTGTCACAGCGCCTGGCGCTTTCCAGACGCTCGGACAAATCTTGGAAACGATTGCGCACATCCTCCACTCGCGTCAACAGCTTGCGGTACTCATCGTAGTCGCTCTCGAATTCAGTCTTATAGCGTCGTCGCACCTCCAGCGTTTGGATAGGCACGTACTGGCTGAAGTCGTAGCGGGGCATGGAGGATGAGTCCGCATCCGCGGTTGCATGGGCATATGCATGGGCAGCCGCCGCCAACTGTTGAGTGGGCGACGGATGCTTGGCCTGCTGATGGTAATGGTTATCCTGTTGCTGTGGCGCCTGTTGTTGCTGATGTTGATGTGGTTGCTGCTGCTGTTTTTGTTGCTGATTCTGCTGCTGGAGGGAAGATCGCGAGCTGGAGGACGATGAGGACGAGGGTGGCGGTACCTGCTGATAGCCAGAGTTAGAGGCACTGGAACTCCTCTGCCGCTGGCTATTTGAATTGCCACTAGGACCACTACTACTCGTCCTCTTCTTGCTATTGGAGGCCGCATGCTGCGTGTTATTGCTGTTGTACGAATTGTAGTCACTCTGCTGGGGCGGCATACGCTGTTTGCTGGAACTAGAACCAGAAGTGGCGGCAGGCACAAAACTTGCCGCCAACTTCGGCGGCGACGTCGAGGAGGAGGCCGAGGATGCAGATGAGGATTTGCTGTTGCTACGGTTTGATGGCATCGCCGCAGATGTCCTCTGGCGATCCTGTTGCGTTTCATAGGAGCTGGAGCCACTGGAGCTGCTCGAATTGCTGCCCGTGGAGTTCCTTTTATCCTTGTTGCCACCTCCATTGCTGGCGCCTGCCAACGAGGAGCTGCCTCGTCTACTGCTATTGCTGCCCCTTGGATGCTGCTGCTGCTGCTGCTGTTGCTGCTGCTGCTGATCAATCGATTGCTGCGTGGCCGCGGCCGTAGAGCTCATAAACTCTTCCATATTCTCCAGCACATTGTAGCTAAGGTCACTAGTACCGTGGTCATCCAACGGACCCGGCTGGCGTTGTGGCGGTGTATATCGATTGCGACTGGACGAGGAAGAGCCCAGAGACATCGATACTGAAGAGGAGTACGACGTTCCCGAGGGTGGAGTATCCTTCTTGTAGTGACTGATGCGCTGCTTCTTGGGTTGAACAGTGCTAAACATAGTCTCGTCATACTCCAGGCTGGTCCTCTTCATGCTACCACCGCCGACTCCACCTCCGCCAACTCCTCCCGGACCACCATTACTCGAAGGTGGCGGTGGACTGCCCGTGTGCGTCGATGTGGGACTCTGACCTGACGTCGAACTGCCCGCATCCGAGCTCATCGGCGGCGTCAGATTCTGCGGCTTTCGACGCTTCAGCTGCTGCACTTCCTGTTCGCTGAAGAAGGGCCAGTTCTCGTCCACATCGTTCCACATCTGGCGACGCAAATTGTACGTGTTGTGCGACATAGTGCTGATGTCCATGAGTATGTTGGTGATCTGATTGCGCTCCCGATCCCGTATGCCTTCGTTCTTCAGCCGCGCAAATAGCTCTGGCTTCTTGAAAGCCTTTAGGGCCAGCAAATGGATAAGGCGTTCACGTATGTTGCGCCTGGACACATCCGACATTTTATTGCCGCCCGACGACTTGTTATTGGCACTCCTGGAGGACGATGAGGAGTTGGAGTTGGAGGAGGTAAGGCCTCCGCTTGGCATCTTGTTGCGTGAGGAGATGGCTGATGATGCTGGCACAACAGATGATGCTGCTGGCATCGAATCCCTTGGCGAGCTGCCGCTCAGGTTATTGTAGCCCTGCGAGATGCCATTGGCGAATGTGGAAGCTAGCGAGGAGGCTGCACCACCGCCGTAGCGACCACCAACACCAGAGCCATTGACTGTGCCGCTGGCGCCCAGCGTGCTGGGATTGGGCGAACGCGAGGAAAACGCGTTGGAGGAGCTGCTGGATCCTACGCCTAGGCCATTAAATGGCGATGAACCTAACTTACGACTATGGTTGTTGCTATTAAAACTATTGCTGCTGCTTATGCTGCTGTTGTTGTTGTTCCCACTGTTGTTGCTGTTGCTGTGATGATGAAATGCCGTCGTCGTCAAACCAGAGTTAGAGGAGTTGGAGGAGGAGAAGGCTGAGGCGGTGGAGGCGGATACGGAGGACATGGAGGCTGAGACTGCAGATGGCGGCTTCTTCACCTTACGCCCGATATCCGACTGATTAGGTTTAATCTCCCTGATGCACTTGCTCTTCTCCGTCTCCTCGGCAATGGCCATTTTTGTGCGTGTCGTATCGTAGACATCGTCATTGGCATGGATTCGCATTCGCAGGGCGACTGCTCCGAGTACTCCGAGGTTCTGTTGCTGTTGTTGGACGCATTCCAGCGTTCCTTCCATATTGTTAATTGTGAAGCCGAATTTACGGCCTCCTCCTCCTCCGGCAGCGTCGTTGCCATTGCCATTAGCATAAGGGATGCCATTAGCATTCGTCGCTGGCCCCGGGAACTGAATGACGCCCGTGTTGCCCACGAATTGGATATTGGCCCGCTGGCCAGGCTGCAAGCGCTTGGCATTGTCATCGCGTTGATATTCCTCGATCGCACGGATCGCGGAATCGGTGAGCTTGACGATGATGTACTCCTTGCTATCATCGGTGTAACGGTGGCTCTGGGACATTCCATAATTGCCGGTCGATAGTGCATTGGGCAGGCATTTCGTTGACGCAATCGAATTGGTCATAACGTGCGCGCAGCTACCCGCCAATTAGATAGCAATTAGATATCCCCTTGATCGTTCCCGGATAATGGATAATGATGGACCAGATCAGATGTTGGAAGGTTGCTGTTTGTTGGTTGGGCCAGCTTGGAAATCGTGGAAGGGGGGCTGGTTTTGATTGGAAGTTGGTAATGGGTTGGTCTCGTGGAAAGGACGGGAAAATTACGGGAAGCACTCGTTGCTTAAGCTGACGTCCTGGAAGCTGCCACTGGAAGTCCCTCTCTCCTGATGTTGTTTGTTGTTGTTGTTGATTCTGTGCAAATATTGCTTGATTTTAGTATGTTGTAATCGTAACTGAAATTTACGTTGTTGCTAAGACGTGACACACATGCACAGCGCTCTCTTTTTGACACACACAATTACACTAACGATAAAGGCTCTCTTTTTCTTTTCGTTTTTTAAAGCTGAGCTTACACAAAAATCTTTTTTGTTTAACGAATTCAGACTCTTTTTGTATTTGCTGTAAGAATTTCACTTCCGTATGGCAAAAGGCAATAATTTTTAAAAATTTACACTTTCAAAAAGTCATATTCTCTCTCTCTTTCTTTCGCTCGTTCGCTTGCTGACTTGCTTACTCTCTTTGTATGTGTGTTGCTTGCAAATAACACAATTTCTTTTGTTAAATAATATGGTATTTTAATTGGGTTAAGGTAGGCATGTATGTTTGCTCTCTTGTCCCTGTTTTTGTTGCTTTTTAATGTTACTGAGCAAGGGAGATGGGTGGGGGGGCGGTAGGCTGCTCTCCCTCTCTATCTCTCCGTTGTTTTTGTTGCTGTTTTTGGTTGAAAGTGCCGCAAGCATCGACTCCTGCGCCAGGTGTCTTAATATTTGTGTGCGTGCGTTTGTCGCATGCTCGCTCTCTCGCTCCCACTCGCCTGGACGATGATGATGTTTGTATGTATGTACGTAAGAGAGCACCTCAGGTCATAAGCAAAATCAAAGACAGCAAATCAATGCTCTGATCCGCTCGCACACGTCCGTGACTGGCCTCGTTCTCTCTCACTCGCTCGCACGACGATCGCAGGGAGCGCGTTGAAGCGAGACAACTGCTGGTTTGATTGGCTTCTCTGCGACTTGTTATTGGTGTTGTTTTTGCTGTTGTTGCTGCTTGATCTTTTTTTCCTTTTCGCTTTTTCGCTAAAAATCATCTGTGTTTGTACGCTGATTTTTATATATTTTGCTGGCACTGGCTCTGCTTATTATATTTTTTTAGTTGCACATAGATACATAAGTACGTTTTTTTTGGTCTATAGCAGTGCGCACAGCCATACGAACTAAAAAATCTTTCTTTCTTTCACACGCACACGAATTTTCAATTCCAACACATGAAATATTGTTTAATTTTAATAGCTTTTAACCACTTTTTTGCTGCGATTGTATTGGATGGCAAAGATAGGCACACACTTATATATATAAATATATATATTATTCGTACGCTTTACGCGTTCGAGACACTTTTACTCAAGACATATTTGGTTAAGTGGATTTTTTGTACTTTCATTTGGAACGGTTCTGATTTTATGTTTTTTTCTTGTATTATGAAGTGTGTGTTTTTTAAGTGCAGTTTAGTTGCCTTCTCTTCTTTTGCAGTGCGTCTGTGTGTGCCAAGGTATCTTAATCAACGTACAAAAGGTATCTGCTAAATGAAATCGAAACGAGTTGCTTTCAAGTGGTTGCCCGTCGCTAGTAGTTGTTGTTGCTGCTGCTGCTCTCTTTGCACTCGTTTATTACAAGTGAGGGAGAGTACGGAAATAGCGAGTGATCTCCCTTAGGCACTCTCTTTGAGTCTCTCGCTTCTTTTGGCATGTACGTGCCTTGTATCACTTGCCGTATTTTTTGCTGTTTTTTGTTTTTGCCAGTCAAGCAAAGCAGAAATGAAAACAAGTTTGCAATATTATTAATGTGCGCACTTGGCACTCGTCAATCTCTTAGATTTGGCTCTCTTTTAGCGCGCGTGTGTTTTTTGTGATCTGGGCACGTCTTAGCAAATGTTACAAAAAAAATAAAAGACAAAATTAGCTTACTTTTGATTGTGTATTGTGTTTGTTTTTATACTGGAAAACTGCGGGCGGCACTACAAAAAATGGTTCAGCTTAATAGCGGTTCAAAAAGCAAACAGGCACGGGCGTACTTACAATTGATTATGTAGTATTCTACTAAAAAACAGATTGCTTTTGCTGTTGAAACAGCTGTTTTGCCACCTGTATGCCCCCACACCACGTCACACGTCGTAGTTTGTGCTGCTCTCTTTCTCTCTCCGCTCTCTTTCTCGCTGCAGCGAAAAAGTTCCAACAAAACAGAAGAAAACAAAAAAAACAGCGCGACTGCAACAACAAGCGTGTGCCAGTCGCAATCAGCTGTTTTGCGCTCACTCGTTTCTTCTCTCTCGCCGAGCAGTGTTGGTAAATGCGATTTATCGATTTGTTTTGGTCTAGTGCTATCGGCTAATCGATAAATCAATTTTAAAATTTAACGTTGATTTCTGGTTGCTGCAAAATTATGATCAACTTTAGTATATAATCACGCTTATGATTTTTGTTTTTCATACTTGTGAGTTGATTGTTGCTTTTTAGTGCGAGCGTGTGGGTGTTTTGCTGTTTCTGCTCCGTTGCCGTGTTGTTGCTGATTTGACTTATTTTCACTCTACACATTGGTAATATAAAAAAAAGGAAAACACTTTAATATTTTATTTACTTTGCACTTGAGATAGTTTTTCCACTCTCCCATTCGACCGCGAAACCGTTACAACTTGTTATTTTGTTTGTTTTCCGTTACGCAGCTCGCGATCATACGTTTTTTGCACTCAGCTGTTTTGTGTTTACGTTACTCGTTCTTGTCACTCGTTGCTCTTCTCCCGCTCTCTTTATCTTATTTCAAGGTTCTCTTAGCAAAGAAAGAGCACGAGTGCAGAGCACGCGACATTCGCTCCGTCATATTTTGCCCCGTTGTTGTTTTTGGTATTTTTTGTTCACTTTTGACATTTTTGCATACGAAAATTTTCCGCTTTCAGGTAGATTTACCGTAGCGCAGATCTTCTAACTTTTAAATGCGAGCGCGCTTGTATGTGTGCGCGCGCGAGTTTGTTTTGAGTGTTCGCATTTTCGTCGTGCCTGTTTTTCTGCCTTTACCGTTTTTTTTTGCCTGGCTTATCTCGGTTCTGTTTGTTTTTTCGCTAGGAATTTAAGCCGCACACGCAGACACATGCACAGTAACACGTGCGTATACGAACGTAAGGTAGGTGTACTTGTATATTCCACAATGAAACTATATTTCTATTTCGTTTTTCCCAACTGCCAGTGGTTAAAGTAAGGTAAAACAGTCAAGGGCGCACACCTGCCTGTGGGAGTGAGGGAGAAGGCAGTTAAACAGCCACTGGTCAAACAAAAGGGAGCGACAAGATAGGAGGATGTCGTCTCGGGTCGTTGGAAAAACCAAGAATATTACCTCCCATATTTTTCCATATACCCCTCAAGAAAAGGATGCCCATAAATGAGGTTTAGAGAAGTCACGACTAACCCTTACTTTACTTTGTCAAGGCTAACACATACAGCTGTGTTCGAAACTATATTCTCAACAAAGTTAAAATATTTATATATTATATATAAATATACTCGTATAAAAACCAAACACCTCTCTGTAAATCTCTAATTTATACTTTAACCCTCTTTATTTGTAATTAAAGTACTAATTTCTTCCCCTCAACTGTAAATGTTGTCCCTGGGCGATCTCTCTATGTGAACCGTGTGTACGCCCCGCCTCGGTAACAAAAATTTCGCAGTCAACTTTAAACAAATTAGCTGAAATATATTCAACTGTGCATATAAAACAACAAAGACTCGCACAGCACAGCCACCAAGCAACCATAATACAATTTCAAGTTTCGTTTTTGTTCAAATAGCATTGAGGGAAAAACGCCGAAAGGCCAATGCACTGATACAACACAAAGTGAGGTGAGGTGAGCTGAGCTAAGGAGGGGAATGAAAACGAATGGAAGGAGGAATAGGAAGAGGTGGCACCAGGGTCAGGGAGCAAAGGACAGGCAAAAGGAAACGCGAGGACATCGACAACAGCTGGCCGCAGGAAACAGTAGCGCAGCCATCATCAACCGCTAAGAATCCAGGGAAAAGGAAAACAATCAGCAACTAAGGAAGTGCACTATTCCGACCTCCGAGATACTTAGCAATCAGTTGAGCACAGATGGCCACCAAATAAGAATTGTATAGATTGTGAGAACATAATCTTTAGAAAATGTGGTTTGATATTATCAAGGATTTTTTGAAAAGGGTTCAAAACAAAGCAACTATTAACTTGATAGTTGCTTGGGTGAGAAACCACATATGTAAAAATATGTAAATCCGTTCTTAAAAGATAACGAAAAAACAATATTTACATTTGATATAAACAATTTTCTAATAAAATCATGGATCTAGCTCGCACATCCGAACATTAAAAGGATACATTTTTCAATTAATCTCCTTGAATTGAAGTGTCTTTCATTCGTTCAAAACAACAATATACCCTCACTCACTACGAGGTGTAATAAATGGAAACTTTTTGAAAACGATGGAAGAAAAACGTGTGCAATGGAATGCTCAAGAGAAAAGACAAACGCACACGCTCACGAATGCGAACACGCTTCCCTAAGCCCGCCACACAATCCATTCCCCTAGGTGGTGTTGCATACACATACATATGTAAAAATGTATAATCTCACGGGTGGAAAATAGATGACACACTCGTCGTCTCTGTGGTTCTTCATATATATTTTTATATATACGTATATATATATATATATATATATATATGTACTTGTGTTCGTAGAACGATGCAGCTGTCAGCTGTGCACGAGCAGTTTTCTTTGTGCTACACTTCTTTACAGCAAACCGAGTGATAACAATGCCCAATGAGGAAATGGGGCAACAAGAACCACATGAAAATCATCGGGGACGGGCCTCTCAGCTATGTTTGTACATACATATTCATGCACATATACTACATCCATAGGGTGTATTTAATAGGAAATCTTTGCAGAACACCAGGGTTGCCACCTACAATTGCTTACATATACTAAAACGAAAGATCGATCGATAAAAACCGACCGACGAGGGCTAGACTATATAAGAAAAGAAAAGCGAGCATTTGCTATCAAGTTAGCTCCTTATCGGGAAGTGGAAAAAGTATTATAAAAACACAGCTATTCTAGGAAAAGGAGTATTTCCCAGATGGAACTACTATCACAATTAAGTCTTAAAAAGAATCGCCATATAATCTTATCACAGCTAGACATTATTATAACTAACTAAACTCTGTTGTCAGTGGAAATTTATACGGCATCATCCAGAGTAAAATGCATTTCATACAAGTTAACAGAGTAACCAAATGTCAAATTTCAAAATCAAAAATAAACTAATTAAATCAAACAAAATTCTGTGTATGTGTAAACACATTAAAACTATTGTTCTTATCAGGAAAAGACTAGTTATTCAAATTAACATTTGACCTTATTTTATGATCACTAGTAATAGCAGGCAGACTAAGACTATGTGCCTGCAATCAACTTGGGAATATATTAAATTATTTATCAGGCAAACATCTTTAAATTACATCGTAAAAGGGCAAATAATTTCATCTAGTAAATGGGATTCAAAGAAAATGTTCGAAAGTGAAAAACGGAACTGGTCTGATAATATTGCAGTCCCCAACTAATTAACAGACTTTGCACCTAGTAAAAACGAAAAAAAAAAAAAAAAAAACAAGCAAAAGAAACACAAGTGTGCTTGAAATGCAACCCGACTGAGAGCAATAACGACTATACATAAGTAATCGGGCCAGTACATACGGGTGGGTTGTGCGAGTGTGCGGAGTGAATAATCAATTGCCGGAGCGGCCGATAATGGTGGCAAAACCGACTGACTGGGGCTCGGGTCCGGGATCTGGGGATCGGACTGTTGGGGGACTTATGGGGCACCGATTCCGGGCAAACCGACGCACGCCTTATTGGTAATTGCCCACACGGGAATCCCAAATACCTTGGACATTGTACGACCAAACAACATACAAACATATTTCGTATTGTTTTTCCCCCATATCGGTGCATTTTCAATATTGAAAAGAGAACGCCCAGAGAACGAGAGTCAAATCTTATACCCACATCTCTATTTTATATAATAAAATGGCAATATTTTAAATTTTATCTTCGGCACTGGTCTATTTATAGTCCAGAAAACAACAACGACAACAACAATGACGCCAACAAAAACGCCAGAGAAGGCACCCACAACACGAAATGCGCTCTCAACGCCTGCCAGTATTTATTTGTTCGAGTGTGTGAGTCACACATCAAGTGGGAAATATTTCACGATAAAAAGTAAAAATAAAAAGGTGCTAAATGCCGTCGTACCTCACTCGAAGTTCAGATGCCGATTGCCGGGGTTAAGTCTCAACAGCAGTGATGCACAAATTGCTCAAGCAATTTATCGAAATAATCGATTGAAAAGAAATCATATCGAAAGAGTAATTTTTAAAGTCGTAAATTGAAAGTCATTTAAACTGCAATCATCAATTTTTTTTTTCCACATAATCTAGTTAAATATACTTTGTAAAATCTAGAATTAAGCTTCAAAATCTGTTATCGAACCATATAAGTAAACATTAAGCAAACTAATTGTGCAACCAAGTTAACTACAACAATTACTGGAGTCTGTAAAATGTCATGAATTATAATTCTGTTGTAAACTTTAAGCGTGCTTCCTAAATGCTTCTCAGGAAAGCAATTATTCTTTCATATGGGAAATACTAAGCTCGTTTTATAGGTATTTTTTAAAAGTAACAGAACCTATGATGATGCACACACCATACGTCCTAAGCCTTATCTGAAGGCACTGAACTCTCTCAATCACAAAAGATATATCGAAAAAATAAGCAGAATGAGGCACATATAAAACAGTGCGTACATTGAACTTGTAGCCCGTTCAAATTCTCGATTCAGAATGACAAATGCAAAAAGGAGCTAACAGCTGAAGAATCGATACTGTTCGTTCAACGACCGATCATTGCATAATTCAGATTTGCTTGTTTATAGCGAAAAAGTGAAACGGAAATGCGTAAAGCTTCCAAAACTGATACGTATGTGTGCGTGTATAAAGAGTTACGAGCGATTCGGATCGGAAAAACATTGACCGTGAATTGGCATAAATTGAAATTTCAACATAGACCCACGACATAGGCAATCCAAGATTAGATTAGGGACTTGGACTCGTATATGAGAGCTTATTTACGTGACGGTCGTTATCTATCTACGCGAGAAAGAAAAAATTAAATAATATAAAAAAAGCGACCACACCAAATCGATGGATAAAGAAAGCTTTCAGCAGCTGTTTGAAGTCTAGAAAATCGATTTCAAACAAAACGAGATCTCCACTTTGAAGTGTATTTTCTACGAAGCTCGGTATTAATGAGCCTCTCTCTCTCAAGTAGAATCTGGTTTTTTGGGAACAACCAGCAACCAACAAACGAAAACAAATGAATCCGACAATAAAAAGCAATTTAAATTTAATCAGAAAAACACACGAAGAGGAGGTTTCGAAAACAAAACTACCGGCACACGTTTTCAGTGCTGTTTTACGTAGCCTGTGGGGTTAATA